TCTTCAACAACCAATGCTTGTCGTAAGAGGCGACTAACGGGATCGGGTGGACCTGTAGACCCATGCTCATGATGTTGATCACTGGATTGTCTGGTCCAGACTCGACTATTTACAGACCGCCGCCATATAGCTGGAATATTGCTGAGTGCGGCGTAAAACTAACTCACTCACTCACTCATCAGGGTTGTCCAGCGTTTTGAAATGTGATGGAACCAGCGAGTTTATGTGTATTCATAAGGCGTGTGTGATTTGCGTATAACTGCCTGAAGAGGTTGTAAAATACGTTTTTGAAATCAGCAATGTGATAACCGCACCAGTATTCAAACGCGGACAGCACGCATTCGTCCAGAATAGATGTGAGTTTCTGATGTGTTCGGTGAAATCCACCGTGGTGGAAAGTGTATTTGAAAATGTTGTATTGTCCTTGTCATACAGTAAGTGAGGCATGGGCAATCTCGATCACCAAGAGGCCGTATAAATTACCATTATAAAGTAACAAAACCTGTTGTGCCTAAGAAGCAAGGCAGCGACCGAAGATCAAGACAACACGAAAAGTAGAATAAGATGAATACAGCACGTATTTTGCATGGGTCGCTATAGAGACATTTGATGGCATCAAGCACCTAAGATAAAACATCCAACTCAATTCTTTTAAAAACATTTGAGGGGAAACAAGCGACAGAGGAGCACTTGAGATGACTGTACCAGATCAGCTATGATGTTTTTAAAATAATTCTTCAACGTCCAAAGTAGTGGTCAAACATGAGGATATTCCCAGATGGTTCCAGCCTTCTAACGGACAATACCCAGTAACCATAGTAGTGGTCAAACATGAGGATATTCCCAGATGGTTCCAGCCTTCTAACGGACAATACCCAGTAACCAAAGTAGTGGTCAAACATGAGGATATTCCCAGATGGTTCCAGCCTTCTAACGGACAATACCCAGTAACCAAAGTAGTGGTCAAAGGATATTCCCAGATGGTTCCAGTCTTCTAACGGACAATACCCAGTAACCAAAGTAGTGGTCAAACAGGGTATTCCCAGATGGTTCCAGTCTTCTAACGGACAATACCCAGTAACCAAAGTAGTGGTCAAACATGAGGATATTCCCAGATGGTTCCAGTCTTCTAACGGACAATACCCAGTAACCAAAAAGTGATAATGATTTAATATGCCGCCATCCTGTAGATCTTAGTGAGAGTGCACTGTTATCTCAAATTAGCAAAATATTGACATATGTTGATCAAATATTTCATCACTTTGACTGACGTATGAAGCTCAGAATACTTCAAAGCTTCTTTCTAGGATTCTTCCTGTCTGAAATCTGCATCACGATGTCTCTTTCAAACGTCTGAATGCTCTTCCCATCAGATTCATAACGACATAGCCGGTATTGCTGAAGTGCTGTCGAATTAAGTGATGATATCTATTTGCAGTGTTGATGTGTCAATATTGAACATACCAATAATCAATACAGTGACTGCTTTCTATGGAAAAAAACCCATGTTAGATATGTCACTTCTTTGAGAGGTATTGGAGCAGGGTAAACCCAATTAGTCGCTCATCGTCCGAGCATCATGTACGCCACGCATGTCATAAACATGGATTCAGCATCCGCATCATTTAATGGTCTGGATGGGAAACAAACACTCCAACGCAACAGCTGGTAACTTCCCCAAACAACACCCACATCTTAGACCCCTTAAAACAACAACAATTCTGGTTGAGTGCACAACGAATCCTCTAGCTGATACCTATTTCTTATAATGGACCAGTCCAGTAGAATCAATAAGAAAATAGTGAGTGAGTGAGTTTAGTTTTACGCCGCACTCATCAATATTCCAGCTATATGGCAGCGGTCTGTAAATAATCGAGTCTGGACCAGACAATCCGGTGATCAACAACATGAGCATCGATGTGCGCAATTGGGAACCGATGTGTCAACCAAGTCAGCGAGCCTGACCACCCGATCCCGTTAGTTGCCTCTTATGGGCTACTGAAGATCAATATTCTAACCCGGACCTTCACGGGTCAATAAGAAAATACTTTATATTGATTCAGCATATTTACTGAGTTCAACATGCACAATAAATAAACAATAAAGATAGTACTATGTCAGTTTGGTAATTATACATCCCATACACCTTGACATCACATCAATAACAATAAGATATTTAATCATACTTAATCACCATGACCATTTCTCAAGTCCATTAGTAACACATGATCCACTATAATCCAGATATAAAACTTAATTATCCAAGATGTATTAAGTGTCCGACTGCATCCAGGAATCCCTCCAAGTTGTTGTTGGTTCTTGGGCCTTGTGTCTCATGGTGGTTCTACAGTGCCAGGGAGAATCGCGCATCATAGTCAATCTACTTGTTCAACATGCTGGGTGTCAGGAGAATAGTTCATTACAAAAGAAAGTACTCTGTGTAGTATTCGAGTTGATGAGATTAATAATAGTTACATACAACAGTTTATACATACTTTACTGTTGTAATTATAATACATGTAGTTATTTCAAAGGTACTCCACGTAAATGATCAAAACAGTTGAGTCCTTTCAGATTGTGAGGAGATTTTTAAATGAAAAATTATCACCTATCTTCAAACGTAATCCCCGTTGTAGAGTAATATCATTTGTTGATCAAGACAAGCTAGACCTACTCAGCAGGGAGCACTAATTAGGACTGTTCCATTTTAGCCATGGGTGTTGTCCTAATCAATCTCCCTCATTGGTATCTAAGATATGGGTGTCTAAGTTTTAGGAGATAACCCAACAGCTTCATGCGTCTGGGTTGCCTTACCTAAACTGAACTGAACTTTATTCACCCAGGCTGCAAACTGCAGCATAAGAGGTGCAAAAATAATATTTACATTTATATACAACACGAAAAGTATATACAAACGGTATGATAGGTGCAATGTACATCGAGCTAGTTACATATTAAAGTATTGAAATTATTTCTTAAATAAAGCCATAATTATTTTACAAAAAATTGAAAGTTTTCTTAAAGTTCCTGGTTTCTTGGTGTCAAATAGGATATTCATTTTATACATATTTGGTGTAATATAATAATACCTCTGGATATATTTTTCTCTTTCTAATTCTAATTTGGGACATATAAATAAATAATGAAATTCGTCACCAATATCATTTAGGTTACACATAGTACACCTTCTATCATTTACTGGGATTCGTCGCCATCTATCTGTCTCCATTGGAAGAAAATGATTTGAAGTTCAAAATTTTAACAAGTTATTGTAATGCAGAAAATTTAGGTATGGTTCAAAATTGAGAGATGGAGTTTTGACAATGCTATAAGTGGTTGCTTTGGAGGAGGTTTCAATTGTTGACATCCATGTTTGCTGATAAATATCTCTTAATTTACTTTTGATAACAGTTTTAAGCCAAAATATACTTGTAAAATTTTGGGATTTCCAGATAAAACTCAGTCCAAGATTGTCGAAAATCTCTCAAGATAGATTATCCATTTATGTTCACACTTGCCAAATATATAATCGTTGAATATTAATTTAAATATTAAGAGGCATAATTTTGATGATTTTCCGGTTATAAGTTTAGCCCCAAAACATACCATTCTGCTTTTGATAACATTTACAAGTGGGAATCCACCAAACTCGCCATATAACATAAAGTTAGGTGTACTTTTCCTGAGTGATACTAGATATTTGAGAAAGCGTAGATGGACATTTTCAAAGCAAGAAGTATTTTTACCGAATACCCGTAATGATCCAGGTTAGAGTTGGTCTTCAGCAACCCACGCTTGACGATAGAAGCGTCTAACGGGATCGGTTGACACATGTCATCGTATCCCAATTTCGTATATCGATGCTCATAATGTTGATCACTGGATTGTTCGGACTCTATTGGCAGGAATATTTCTGAGTTCGGCGTTAAGCAACAAACAAACAAACAAACAAACAAACAAAAGCGTTACCCGAAGCTAATCCTCAATCCCAGTAGTACATTTATAAAAGCTGGTTTGGTTTTAAATATAATGTGTCACCCATATCACGGACAGAATAAGGCATGCTTGTGGAGATTCGAGGGAGGGCATCCAGAGAAGTGATAATATGTTCTTTTGGAAACAATGTGATATAATGTTGAAGCATGCTTGTCTTTTGATGAGCGGTATTAATATCTCAGACAATATGAATGTGCACTGCCGCCTGAAGATGAGGCAAAGATGTAAGTTGTAGAGCATCACTAATGACAATGAGTGAGTGAGTGAGTTGGGTTTTAAGCCAGGCTTAGCAATATTCCACACGTATTACGGCGGGGGACACCAGAAGTTGGTTTCTCTCGTTGTCATTGATTCGGGGATCGAACCTGGACTTACGGAGTGGCAAGGGTACCTTTCTTCTGATAGGTGGCTCTGCATTACTCATTGTGCCTTATGTTGTGATCACAACAGACATAATGTATTTATTAAATGACCCCTAGTTGTGTAGAGGTGAAATGGGACGTTTTACGTCGCCTATAGAATTATTCTACCTGTATATCGACTACACGTGAAGATCACTTTGTCACATTGCAGTTCATTACCATGAAGATCCGGGTTACAATTTCTGAAGAAGGCTTGTTTTCATCAACCAAAAGTGGTAAGAAGCGATTAACGGGATCAGGTGGGTTGACACATGTCATTGTATCCCATTTGCGTAGATCGATGTTCACGCTATCAACTGGATTTACATTATCATTAACACACCACGGTGATGTAGCTGGAATATTGCTGAATGTTGCGTTAAACACCAAGACACAGATACTCATTTTCTTCTTTCATGATTCCTCAAAAATATAAGGAAAATATGGAAAGTTGAAAATGCGTTTAAAATATAATGGACAAGACACACCTGTGTCACAGTTGAGTGCGTAAATGCATTGTCTCCATGTAGAATGGGCATTGTCTTCAACGCGTAGATTAATATGATGAGAAAAGAAATCAATGAAACGAAAGGCGGTGTCACCTGCAGGCAGGTATCACAGGGCAGTCTAACTAAACGCAGGCACAGAGCAAGCCAGAAGACACTGCATCACAGGAAGACACCGTGCCACCGGAACCTTGAAACACATCGTAGAACAATTGGCATGTAAGAAGTCTCCCCCGAACGGGAATCTAGCACCACAGATGCTTAGTTCATTACAAGAGGATATTGCCACACAGTTGTGAAGCACATCGGCGTACGCCAAGCACATCGCAGGAGTGAAGCACATCAGAGAAGCACATCAGAGAAGTCCAGTTAACCACCTTCCCATAATGTTTGACCTAGCCACCTTTTCTCGCCTTTTAACCATATATGCCACCATTTCCCGCACTATGGCGTTTTGTGATATCAGCTCATTCGTCGTCGATGGACAGGTGTTGAGAAACTCTGATTTTGCGTCTTTTCCCAAATCGGACATTTTCCGATGTGCCGGATTATGTGTGACATACAGCGTCTGTAAATCATTCAATCTAAACACGAAGACCAGGACCTGTTACCTTAGTTTCAAAGATTCAACGGATACGGGAAACGTACAGTTAAATGCTGATTACATCCAGAGCGATATCAACGGATGGCCCAAGGTATGTGAGGTGTAAATACGTCTTATCGCATGATCAGATTATACAGCGTTGAATACATCATGTGTTATATTTAGGATTATACTTTCTTGGTATAGTACAAAGTCTAGTATATTTTTGGTTGAGGCCTATCCGGGATTCGAACCCATACTCTCTTTGCGTGGCACCAAACGTACGTAGTATAGACTACCAGTTGTGAGACTTCTATTTGGGTGGAAATCTCTCTGGCTGAGTGGGTTAGATTGCTGAATTCGTGTGCTGGCAGTTTTGTCAATTTCTCGGAGTGGGTGTGGGACGGTGGGGTAGCCTAGTTGTTAAAGCATTCGCCCGTCACGGCCCGGATTCGATTCCCCACATGGGTACAATGTGTGAACCTTATTTCTGGTGTCCCCCGCCGTGATATTGCTGGAAAATTGCTAAAAGCGGCGTAAAACCACACTCACTCTGAGTGTGTTGGTTTGAATCCTGAGTGTAACTCACCCCAAATGTAACTAGAATTTGCACTTTACTACAAACATGCATTCCCAATGATAAAATGTTTCTTAAGACCACGTTCTTAAAGGTATTGTGCATTCAGAGGTCTTAATATAGCTATATTTAGGTTTGTTTATTCGTAATGCATAATTTTGGGGGTTTTCAAAGATACGAAAAATCGTCTCAAGTCAGGCTATCAAATAGCAAATAATACCGTCTTTGTGCAAACTCTGGCGGTTTCCTTTTTGATATACGAATGGAAATTATGAGATACATTCATGCGGGTAATATTTGATACCAGGACAACGAATCTGGAACCAACCGCCTGAGGTTGGAAATGTGAACATGTCTGATTGTTGATGGCCGTATTCTTATTAGAAGCAGTATCCGATGACTCCATTTTTATATTTTATTTTTATTAAATTATTAATGCATAAATAGTGCCTGATCACGCTGTCTCGTGTGTGGCCATTTCTGATGTCCCCCGCCGTGATATTGCTGGAATATTGGTAAAAGCGGCGTAAAACTAAACTCACTCACTCATGTGTGAGTGAAGTTTGTTACCAGGTGAACCTAAATACGTTATACCCTCAAACATCCGCAAGTGTAATGGTTAGATTATCTCAAAGTGTGAAGAGGACAAATATCGAATGTTGTTGTGTTTTGTATAAATGGGAGTCGTGAAAGGCCTACTAATGACGTTTCTATATACATTGATTTGTGAGTGAGTGCAGTACAGCAACCCTCATTCATTTGTCTCGAAACGTGTCCGGTACATTAGGAAGACATTCGTGTTATTTCCTTCAGGGTTATTCTAATTATCTGAGGGGCGGTGGGGTAGCCTAGTGGTTAAAGCGTTCGCTCGTCACGCCAAAGACCCGGGTTCGATTCCCCACATGGGTACAATGTGTGAAGCCCATTTCTGGTGTCCACCGCCGTGATATTGCTGGAATATTGCTAAAATCGGCGTAAAACCATGCTCATTCACTCTAATTATCTGAACATTTCAGAGCAGAATGTTATATTTCAGCGTATAGGAGGACCTTGTTCTCAGCACACCTGCCACCCGACTACTTTCTGTGCTGTGAGTCGTTCAACAACAGCCACGGTTTGCAGTAAGTTCATACGATCGCTAATATACTCCTAAAAAAACGCTTAGTATAACTAGTTTTATGCATGGCAAACTAATTTATACATGTAGTCGGACAAAATCGGGTCAGGCTGGCTGACTTGGTTGACACACGTCATCCTTTCCCAATTGCGCCGATCGATGCTCATACTGTTGATGACTGGATTATCTGGTCTAGACTCGATTATTTACAGACCGCCTTAATATTGCTGAGTGCGGTGTAAACCTAAACTCACTCGCTCACTCACTAGTATAGGTCACGACAGGTTAACTATAGCCGTAAAACTAGGGGGTTCTGTACCTTCTTTTGATAAATGTACATGAAAACATATTAAAGTCGCACTGAACATGAAATAGCGTCAACCTGATGAAAACGACCATTAATTCTGTACATTAGAACGATGAACGGTTAACGGTAGAAAGCTGTCGCCATCGTGTGTCAAAAGATACACTTCACACTTGTATACTAGCCACATAAAGAAACTGTGCACACAGAAAATTCTTTCAGAATTGGAATACAACACAGAAAAGACGACATGATGTAGACGCTTTATAAGCTGAAGTATCGGGCCTCAACAACATGTCAAAAGAACATGAACAATATCCGTAACGATGACGTCAGAAGTTCAAAATTGAGTCGGGAGTCACACGTCGAAGTCACAAAGTCAATAACAGGTATGACCATCATGCGCGTGAAGCACAGCAGTGCAACGACGACGCATAGAGGCTACCAAATTTTCCAAATGAAGGCCTGGGGAATGGTTTGGGACGTGGTCACTGCCGTCTGGAACCCATCTGTGTCTGATATGAGTCACCCGAATCCATCTGTCCTGCCTTGGCGTCGTTACTCGGGGTCGCCCAGAACGTGGGTGGTCGGCGACGTCATTACTGTTTCCCTAACGCCTGAACAATGCAGATATCGTGTTACGATGGCATTGGAAATGTGCTGCCACCTGTTGTTGGCTCATGCTGCTCGACCCTTTCCAATGGCTTCATGACGTTGAGCACATGTCAATCTTGGCATGATGTGCATGTGACTTCTAATGTGCATTTGTGAACGTTTGAATGACCAAAGATCAAGCTTTCGACAGTGACAGCAATTTCTGAATTTCACATGTTGTGAGCAGCTGCACAGGCTGCACGTGCAGTAACACATTGCAAGTCCATAGGCCACCATCAATGACGTCACGTCGCCTGGCACCTGCATGAGCGTTTGATTGTCTCCAATACTTGCTATGTACACACCTTTATTTATGCATAAGGACGCTGTCTGTCTATCTTTATATTTTATGTGTGCACAGTTTCTTTATGTGGCCAGTATATTTAGAACAACAGATTTTCAGAATACGACAGGTTGTGAGATACAATGTCAGGTACCCAAAATGGCTTCAGGTGAGCCAAATCTACAGACTTTGTATTCACTATCTTGGGAATGCTGACAAGTCATTTTTAATAAGACAAAAAAATCATATGTGGCTGTTTAAAATTTTCAGAAAGCATTCATTCAGGACATTGCACAAAATTGTGTGTGCATTGTTCTCTGGATTAAGTGGGACTCTATTAAAGCCTTGCAAGATAAGATATGCTTATACGGACGAGTTCCCCGTGTACTGTTGGTTTACGGCAAGGTTGTGTACTTCGTCCGCTGTTCTTGTGTTTGAATCAGTAAACACTTCACATGGCTTCGTCAGATTGCAGTCACATGGTATTCATAAAAATGATGTCTGTCTACCAAGGATAGAAAGATATTCACGGTTTAGAATAAATAAACACAAGGTCAAAATTATTAACACAACATGGAAAAATAAAATTAATTAATATACATTATAACCAGGAATATAGGCCACCAGTAACCAAAGCTGGAACCTGCAGACTTACAGTTCAGATGAGTCCCCAGCAGGATTTATGCTATCACGTTGGTCATCATCGGTTGTTTGTAATGCTGAGCAATCTTAATAACGAATAAAAAAATACAACCAAGGCAATAAAACGCGAGTTAATATTATATATAGATTATTAGATTTTTATTACAAAAGTAGGGGGAGAATAGTATACAAAACCTCTTACCACTCGAATTTCACAACCATTAATTAAGCAGTTAATGATCCCTTTACACTAATTTACACAAATATTGAAAAGACCCGTTAAAGGGGTCGAATTATAATTACTTTCCACTGTGTGAGAGAGTTTACACGGTCAAAACAATATCTGCATTTAATGAATATTCATAGGTATTGCAACTGTGTCCAATGAAATATTGTCCGGAAGCAGCTTGGTCATGTCTTGACTATGGAATCCGAGAAGGGACATTGTCGCTATGTCGCGTGTCGCCCTTTGGAGGAATAAATATTATCAAAAACGCGACACGCGACATCGCGATAATGCGACAATTGGCGAAATGTCGCGTTGTCGCGATGTCGTGTGTCGCGTTTTGGTTAATTTTGCTTCATTTTGCTTGTATTTGAGAGGGCGACACCGCGACAATGCGACAACGCGACAATGTCCCTTCCAGGATTCCATACTTGACCGACAACCCAGACAGTATAACCTAGATTCTGTGTATGCTTGGAAGTGTGTTGACAACATCTTGAATGTTCCACTTCATTTGGGGGCGGTGGGGTAGCCTAGTTCGCTTGTCACGCCGAAGACCCGGGTTCGATTCCCCACATGGGTATAATGTGTGAAGCCCATTCCTGGTGTCCCCCGCCGTGATATTGCTGGAATATTGCTGCGTGTTGCCTCGGGAGCAGAATCTGCCGTTGCGTTATCAGCGATTGCAGAACTACTGGTCCCCATGGTACCTGGTATTGTGGTTAAACTTTGGTTGCTGGCGATCGTACCCCGTTTGTGTACTGTGGCTTTCAATGACAGTTTATACTTTTATATGTTATCAAACTCGTTTTGCTAAACATCTGTGATAGTCTAGTTATTGTATCCTTCGGCAACTGGGTTCCATAAGTTTACATACAACTGTGGTTGTTTTTTGTAATGTTTAAAACCCGCGTAGATCCTGGCTAGAGATGTGATCTTTAGCAACCTGTGCTTGAACAGATATTTATATACATAACACATCGAGTCTGGATCAGACAATCCAGTGACTATCGATCAGTTTGCATGCGATGACATGTGTCAACCAAGTCAGCGATTCAGTGATATAGCTTGGATATTGCTTTGTGCAGCGTTAAGCAACAAACAAAGCACACAAAAAAAGAAATAAAAAAGAAATCAATGCTTAATTTTATTTCGTCATAGCAAGGCTGAAATATTGCCTATGCGATTGTATATTTTTACTCCATTTTTAACACCCATTCCAACACTAATTAATTCTAAAATGTCAGGTATTAATAGATGATTTGGAGAAGTTGTTGATTTACCAAACATTCGGGCAGTCTCATATGTCGATAAATCTAGATATTTTAAGCGAGTCCTTATGCAATTTACATTTGGACAGACTGTTAATTTGAATGCTGAATAAAAAAACAGACCGTTTTAATGAACGATTGTACACGCATTAAGCAGTCGATAGTTCTTCTGTTTTTACGGAAACTGCTGTGGGTATTGGCATTGGGATCATTAGTTTCCAAGATCCACACAATTTAATCTATTCGAGAGCATTCACAGAGCTGTCCATGGTCTGTAAAAGAAAATAGTAAACATAATAGTTCGATAATTTAATAGATTAGACGATCACATCAAGGTTGTCCTGGGGCTGTTTGCATCGATATACAAGTTTAATTTGCTTCTAAATTTCTGAAGAAATTAACGTTCGCCTGTTTTAACAGACAGTTGGCAATGCAAATATGTTTATTAAACAGTTTCATATCCGGGCTATTGATATGTTTAAGCAGGAATGGCATTCAACTATTAATGAAAGTTCTAGATATGATTCATATCGTCAATTTAAGTCGTTGCTTGAGCCAGAGTGTTATCTTGCTCACCTTCAATACCGAAATATTCGCAATGCTTTTATACGGTTTAGATTAGGCCTTAATGATTTATTAATTAACCGTGGAAGATATGCTTCTATGGAAAAAACCCAAAGATTATGTCCATTCTGTTACATTATTGAAGATGAATTCCATTTTATGTTTATTTGTCCTGTATATGAAAATCTAAGAAATAAGTATCTACCGCAACTGTCTTTATCTCAAATCAACGTTAATCTATTGTCTTCCTTACTTTCCTGCAAAGAACCTCCAAAACAACACCAAGTTGCTCTATTTATCTACAATGCATTTTTGTTAAGAAAAGAATTGATTAGTTAGAAAGTTGATTATATATGCCATTGTCAAGATGTATCTCTTTTGTATATGGGCCTATGGCCTTTCATACAATAAAGAATTGAATTGAATTAAGTGGTTGGCAATCTTGTACAATTAATTGTACACTGTACATTGTACCGTTAATGTCATTCATCACTGATGAGATATGCCTATTCAGTAGCTGTGTACCTAAATACATGTGTATGTACATTTTGCCCAACAACGGAAACCGATCAGCTTCAATCAAGTGATGAAGTTCTTCTCATTTTTCAATAAGGAAGTTGAATAATAGATTGAACATCTCAAAACATTGCCTAGTCACATAGGTGTTCATAGCAATCGTACTGTTTTGTCTTCCGCGAAAGGAACTGAGGGCAAGTAGTTTTAGATAAACACACAACACAACAGAAAGCAATCCTAACTGGTCTTGCTTTTAAGTTATATCTGCATAAAATGATGGTCCACTTAAATTGACTCCTTTTGCTTTTGAAAATGGTACAGAAGGTCTACCTGGCGACGGGAAAGAAATTAGAAAGCTATCTTCTGGCTCCCTACTGAATGAATACAAAAAGCAAACCCGTCACAAATCGTACTTTCAACAAAGTCACTAACGCAGTTTGCTGTGGTCTCACCTCACTGGACCCTCAACAGTAGTAAAGGCATTGTCCGGAGTTAGGACGTTGCCTTTGAGGTTAACATCGATCCGGAATTACGCCTGCAAGGAGTCACAGCTGTTAAATGTCTTACTGCCAGAAGAGAAAATGACCAACACATATCTGTTTACATTCGGTCTTCCTTCACGCCCAGAATCACTAAAGGCTGGATACTGTCACTTCAGGGGAGATGCTTGTCAGTACCTACCTTTCAGTTTCACCATCAGGGGCTAAAGCTAACAGTAGATCTTCTGTTTTAGTAAGGCAGGGTGTGATCCACAGCCCTGTTTCAATTCATACCAGTCTTCAGGCTTCAGTTCGAATAACTTTGCACATTATTTTTACTTTCTCCATGTACATTCATCTTAGGACAGGCCTCGGTTGCTGAAGGCAATTTTAACTTGGTTAGTTTTCTTATAACTTAATTAGCACAAAGAATCAAAATGTACATAAAAAATGAAATCTGATAAAAAACACTGAACCATTTCCAAGGTCTTAAGATTTTATGGAAATCCACATGATAGCAGGCGTCGCCAGTTGTGTTTGACCTTGGGTTATATACCCAATATAAAATAAACTGTTCTGAAAAAATCTGAACTTCTTAAAATCAGTGACCAATACCATATTCTAATTCTTGCAGTTGTTGCCCTTTGGTGGATCCTTAAGTGAGTTCCTGGCATGCTGATTCATCGAGAAAAATGCTTGCTGCCTTCTGTGGTTTCTAGAATGTAGTTTAGGTAATGTTTCTGGCATGCTACCTTGTGAGATTCTGGTATGCTGCCTGGTCGAGTTATATGCAGGCAACGTTCTGGGGTTTCTAGCATGTAGTCTATTTAAATTATTGTGTGAGTTTCTGGCGTGCTACCTTGTCAAGCTTACGACATTCTAAAATATATTCAACGTTTGTAGCGTGATATTGAAGTCTTTCAAACTGTTGACGCGACTGCACCATCTACTTGGAAACAGAAGCATAAGAAAACACATAAATATTTATCTTTACTTCATATTTTCAGAGCCGGTGCAGTTCATGAACCCAGAGGAAGATACAAGCACATATTACGAATTCGTCGACGCTGGCAAGGCCTGGGATCTTGCAAAGACAGACTGTGAGGACCGAAGTGGACATCTTGCCATAGTGGAAGGCACGGCAGAGAACGAATTTCTTCAGAACACTGCGATAGCGTGCGGTAAGGTTGTATACTGTACTCATTTTATGGTTAATTCATTTACAAATTGACGGTGGTTCCGTTCTGTTAAAATATCTGATTCATGTTTGGTAAAACAAACATGTATATTTGCGGAATCTGTCTTTAATGGATAGATGTTGAAACGTGTCAGCTATTGACAGATGGCGTTATGTTTCTATCGTTGATGTAATGTCGTAATTTGCCTGTCACAGACAGATGGCATGTGCCTTCCATTGTGAGATGTCTTAATGTGTCTCTGATAGATAAAAGTAGTAATGTGCCTCTCATGGATAGACGTCGTAATGTGCTTTTCATAGATAGATGCCGTAAAGTGCCTCTCATAGATAGATGCCGTAAAGTGCCTCTCATAGATAGATACCGTAAAGTGCCTCTCATAGATAGATGCCGTAAATTGCCTCTCATGGATAGATGCCGTAAAGTGCCTCTCATAGATAGATGTCGTAATGTGCCTTCCATGGATAGTTAGTTCGGATACCTCTACACAACGGTCTGCTGGTGGATTTTGCAGTCACGAATCTGTAGGGCAGGTTTGTACGTCACGCAGCGCTCTAGTCTAGCCCTCTGCGATCTGCAACGTTGTCCTTCTGTTGTACACATTCCTCAGACGGTGTATTGTGTGACTACTACAGAACTGGGCTCGACCAAATGTTGCTACGGATTGTTGAGCACAGTGCTTACCCATGTCACATTCACGATGCTGATTTGCGAGTTGCGGCATACTCGCTTCTTTATTCAACTTGCAGTGCTGATTCGTTTTCCTGTTCAGCATAATCTTCGTGCTAGCATTCAAATGCACGGGCGCTCGCTAAGATGATCCGGTGACTCGATGAACGTCATTGTTGTGCTTCATGCGGCATAACCCTACTATCCACGTCGGTCAAGGCCATGTTCAAACGGCCTACATGTCATTACCGTGTGTATGAAGACACAAAATACATTGCCGTGTTTACAAGAGACTAAAACAAATTACACCCCTCACACTTATTACCAATAAGGTGGTTGTCGGGTTTCTTATTTTGTAGAGTATATGTCGATAATTTGTGAAAATGTAAATGTCAGTACAACGAAATATGTAACACATTGAAAATCAGATTGGGATAAAGAGTCCTTTTTCCTCATCACTCAACATTTTCGGCTTGAAAACTCAGCATATATCCAAGTAACTTCGTGTCCGAACATATGCCTAACCTTTATAGCAAAACGAAATTATAATTTTCCATGTATGATGTCGGTAAGTTGAATGAGATGTTCTGTTTAGTGAGTGAGTGAGTACTGTTTTACGCCGATTTTAGCAATATTCCAGCTATATCACGGCGGCGGACACCAGAAATGGGCTTCACACATTGTACCCATGTGGGGAATCGAACCCGAGTCTTCGGCGTGACGAGCGAACGCTTTAACCACTAGGCTACCCCACCGCCCCCTGTTCTGTTTAGTATTTAATATAGAATAAAACAAGTAAGAAGCTCAAACTTTTTCGGCATATTGTAGGAGTGTTCCAGAAGTATTTTGATGAAGGAAGATACATATACTCATGCCAATAATGGTTGTCACCCCTTCAATTTTTTAATTAGCGAGGGGTGTGGGTGGGGTGGGGTGTGAGGGTGTGTGGGGGTTGGTGGGGGAGGGGGTGACAACCATTATTGGCATGAGTATACATAGCTACTTACAACCCGTTTTTGTACTGACACCGTATTACAATACTTTCACCTGGAACCCAACACTGAAAAAGTAGTAGGAAACAGTTAACTTTAACAGAGATCGCAGCACCTTCCTCACTGTAGATTCTAAGAGTTTGAGCTTTAAGTTTTAGTGAGTATATTTATCGAATGATAGGAAGTTTGTTTTGTTTTTTTATTTATGCATGTATACATATACCATTGTATTATAATGAAACGTTTCAATACATGTTTGCCTGTACCATGAAATATGTAATTAAATTTAATATAAATAAAGTTTCCGACCTGTACACGTTGCTTATTTAACAAATATTTAGAAACTTCCTGTTCTAAAACGAAATCATAATATATAATAAATTGGACATTTAAATAGAGCAGAATATGCAGAAATACCAAGATGTTTGTTCCTGATCAGATTTGAGCGACGGAAAAACAGTTTCTCACACTGTCAACAAACGAGCTTGGGCAAACCCTTTATTTATTATTAATATATATAATACTGGCTGTGTATTCATGATAAGATTTGAAAGAAACAAAATTTGCTAAGACATTTTCACATGTCTCAAATACTTAGATGGATGTGAACTCTTTGATGTGTATAAACCCATTAAAGCACCAATCATTGTCAACCTCTGCAGCTGGGGAAATCCTGGGTTTGAAGTCTCCGATGTGCTCATTGAGTGTCTCGTGTTTCAACAGGTTATAAAGGCTTCCTATAACGTCGTACACTTTTGTGTTCAATATTCAATTTAGTCATCGATATTAACACACTGGAACCGGAATCTCTTGCCATTGAGTAAATATCTCAATTCTAAACACACGTTTGTTATAGTTTGAAACCTCCGTAGCAACACGGTCTGACAAACAATTGTACAAACTTCGATTTCTTCTAGACGAGATAACCAGATCCTTTGTTGTACTAAAGAGCTGGTCATTCTGTAGGGCCCTTCAATATGGCACTGAAAAGGAAAAATGTCTTCAAGAATTAAACACAGTGAAGAAAACACAAAACAAATCTATCTTGGAAGAAGCTGTACATACGTTTATGTGAGGCGCATACTGATATTCTTGCGGCGTTGCGAAGGCGTTGTATACGCACGAGCAAAAGAAACTAAACCGAAACTAAAATTATTATTTGTCGTAATAAAAATAGATAAAGTGTTTAAAAAATGCTGTCAACTAAATACCTAAACGAGCTAATAGGTGTGTTTCGGAAAGCCAAAATTATAGTAACGGGTTCTGATGCAAAATGACTTAAACCGTGACAGTTAGACAACTTCAACTGTTTGGATAGCTAGGGTAAATAAGAACTGCAGTGCAGCCATCTGCTGTAGCATTCAGTTCGTCATAAAGACACAACGATCATACCAAGGGTTTGGAAAGAAGAGAGAGACACGGTAGCTCTTAAACTCAGCTCGAGGCCAAGTTAAGGGAAGACTTGCCTTACCGTGAACAGACCCAGGAGTGGTAGACGTTCCATCTCAGCCTCCAATCGCGGAGTGACCTTCACCGGTCATCATCGACGTCAAAGATGGCGGTGGATACAGACCGTCAGCCAATGAGGAATAAAAACAGGTCACGGGTACTCTTTTCTGGCGAAAGTCCATTTGATCTCTCCAATCCTGATGTTACAGCTTGTATACCCCGTCGACAAGGCCTGCTAAAGAGAGTTCTTCAGGAGTTCTTGCTTTTCGGCGGTGGTAGCGTCATGGTTTAGGGCGGTATATGTTGACAGAAAATGACGGATCTTGTAGTTTCCAACGCCGATATCACCACTCATCGCTATCGGTGTGAGGGACCTCGTCCAGGTTTTCACTCGTCCATGCAACAAAACCCTCGGATTATATTCCAACAGGACAATGCCCGACCAAACAGCGCGACTCAGCATGAACTTTCTCGACGCCGATGTGACCTTTATGTCATGGCCATCCCGAGACCCTGATATTTCTTCTATTCTGTATGTGTTGGTTTATTTGGGATGTAAAGTAAGAACAAGACAGATTCTTGTAATGCCAAGACTATGTCTGTTAAGCACCTGTGGAGGAATGGCGCCCATGCCACCTCAGGTTATTCACGATCTGACGTACTCCGCACGTCGTCGGGTGAGAGCTAGTCTGTCTCACAGTCCCTGAACCACATTATTTTCCCTACTGCCAAGCCCTCTCTGCAGTGCTTAAGCCCTAAATAAAGCAAGTCTAGAATTCCCCAGGTTCAGGAATCTCTGGTTTCCCTGGGGCTCCTTTTCAATTTAAATGGGTTTGTTTGAAAATAAAAATATTCAGAGACTAAGCATTAGTCTAGGTGAGAACCTGTATTGATGCCATTGTGGGTCGATATTGACAAAGTTCCTGACACTGTACTGTCCACTAAATGCACTGTTGAATGATCCAATATCGACTAACCTCAGACTCGTTGTTGTGCTCTGTGAAATCTTGTATCAACCTCCTTTTGAAGAATTTCTTATGTGCATGCAAAAATGTACTTTGCAGTTGCATCTATCATTTCTCAACTGTCATATCTCTTCTGTCAATGATCGTTATATATTGCTCCGTGTAGTTTCCCGTGTGGCTGTAAACGTACAGGAGAGGACAATTGTCTGATAGTTATGAGTTTGTTGGTTAGATTATGTAGGAACTGTACACATGTAGAGTGAGTGAGTAAAGTTGTAAGCCTGTTTTAGCAATATTGCAGCAATATTACAGCAATATTACTCCAGAAACGGACTTCAAATTTAATTACCCATGAAGAATCGAACACGAGTCTTTGGCGTGACGAGCAAACACTTTAACCATTAGGTGACCGCAACTCGACAAATGTACATGGAGAAAAGGCTTTTAGTTGTGACTGTTGTTAGAACGTTGGTTACAAGGAGCGCCCGCACTCTCTCTCTCTCTCACTCTGTGAGTGCGTGCGTGCGAGTATGTGTGTGTGTGTGTGAGTATGTGTGTGTGTGCCTGTGTGTATATCTGTGTGTATGTAATTTCAACAGTTACAAAATACGTTTCGTTTAACGTCCGATCGAAAATTATCTACGTATAATAGAATGATAAGCTGACAACGGTTTTATCCCGACAAAATATTATAAGATATTTCTCAAATGTATATTTTACATCTATGGACAAAATTGTGACATAAAACTATCCTTGCTATAGCTTAAAACATCTTCACTAGCTTCTAATCGGCATATACTGGTATCAAAAGCATATACACATGTGTGCCAAGTGAAATTCCCCGATATGTCGTGCCCAAAAACGTGAGACTGACGCGCACGTGCACGCACACCCATATATATGTGTGCATGCATACATATATATATTCTAACCGGTCTCACATTGTAAGTGTAATCATCGTGAAAAAGACGTTGCCATCGATATAATTATTTTCACACATCAATATAAATATAGATATAGATACACCTGTGTTTATATCCCCCAGGATACTCAGCCAAGTTGCTATGGTTCGGGGCGACTGATGCAGCTGTTGAGGACACGTGGAGATGGGTAGACGGGAATCTGATCCAGTTCACATCATGGATGGATGGACAACCCAACAACCCAGGAGAACAGGACTGCGCTGGATTTGTCATCGGCACCGGCTGGAAGAGCAACCCCTGTAGCTATTCCTATAAATACATCTGTGAAATTAAACTTTAAAATGTTAATTAATAAATATATGCAAACATGATAGGGTGAAAAGGGTCCCTAATTTAAATCAATGAGTGTATGTGTGTGATAGCTCGGGGGAGGGAGGGGGGAGGTGGTTGTGTGGGGGATGTTTGGGGGTTTGCAGTTTCCATGGAGACTGGCTGTTTGTGTTTCAGCTTCAATTATTTTATTAGACTGGGGGCCTGAATACTATTTCCTCAATTTCTTACAACAATGTAAGTTTATGGCATACAGTTTCTTGAAACATTAATTGTTTATGTTGCATATGTATCGAATGAACAAATTTGGGTGTTGCTCTATCTTTAGGAGTTTAGCAGGTGCTGACTAAGGACTATTTCATGTTTACCGTGATTGTCTTTCATGGTTGTAAAACTATACCACATGGTCGATGGTTTCGCCCCGTAAACCTGCATTTCTTTCGTCTTTCAACCCACACCGAGTTAGTATGCCGTGATGTAGAGGAAATATGGTTCAAAGGGGCGCGAAGTCAAACGCTACCAGTCTCAAGTAATACTGTGTAAACATATAAAAATGACAAAAAGGCATATTATTTTGCAGCATATTGTGTAAATGATAAGGACTCAATAACTGTTTGAGAGGCATTCTAGAAGAGGTAATAATAAAAATGACACGTCTTTATGGGTGATCAACTTCTTTATTATACAGTGGCCATGTTTCGGTATAGATAAATACCGTTTTCAAGCATTTTAAGGAATGGCAAGACTTTATGGGTGATCAAGTTCTTTATTGTACAGTGGCCACGTTTCGGTATAGATAAATACCGTTTTCAAGCATTTTAAGGAATGGCAAGACTTTATGGGTGATCAACTTCTTTATTGTACAGTGGCCACGTTTCGGTATAGATAAATACCGTTTTCAAGCATTTTAAGGAATGGCAAGACTTTATGGGTGATCAAGTTCTTTATTGTACAGTGGCCACGTTTCGGTATAGATAAATTCCGTTTTCAAGCATTTTAAGGAATGGCAAGACTTTATGGGTGATCAAGTTCTTTATTGTACAATGGCCACGTTTCGGTATAGATAAATTCCGTTTCCAACAAGACTTGTCAGTCCGCTGTACAGTGGCCACGTTTCGGTATAGATAAATCACTTGTCCCTTGAGATCATTCTTTAAATGAGGCCACATCTCTAAAGGCGTAGTGACGTCAATCATATGGGTGATCAACTTCGTTAAAATGGTGTGAAACGTCGTTATAAGTATCTGCTGAATCGCCACAAGAGTTGAACATCAACAAGACTTGTCAGTCAAGGTGGTCCCTTGAGCATAGAAATGAGGAACATCTCTAAAGTAGTGAGCGTCCGCTCAATCGTTAAATAATGTGTGACCGTCGTTGCTGCTGAATCACAAGAGTGACCCTTCAATCATGGGTAGCAATGGTGTGAGCGTCCGCTCGTCATTTCCGACCCGGTGTCCCCACATGGGTACAATGTGTGAAGCTATTTCTGGTAAACTCGGCGTAAACCCAAACTCAGTCAGTCAGTCAGTCGTCACACCGAAGATCCGGGCTGGATTGCCATATGGGTACAATGTGTCAAGACTATTTGTGGTGCCATGTTATTGCTGGAATATTGCTAAAAGCGACAGGAAGCCCTAATCACTGAAACGCGCTTAGACCGAGTAAAACAAAGAATTTATAATACTATGTAAGGCAACATTTGTTTTAGATTTAATCAAATTTAAAGGGGTGGAGATAATTTCATTTCAGATCATTTGTTTTGTTTGTGCGTTTTTCATAAATAAAATTTTGTGTTGAAGCTGATTTGATGCCGTTATTTGTTCAAGATAACATTTTTGTCTTACTTATCACTGGAACATCGCTGTGTCAGCAGGACGATCGATTATGTCGGTGTTCAACTGTGTAGTTATGAAAACTAGCAGTTGAAAGATCGCCTCTAGCCTTTGTTTAACGGCACATGGGTTATCTCATTCTTGCCTCAAGTCAGTGTAGAGGGATCTCATCCTTGCCTCAAGTCAGTGTAGAGGGATTTCAGCTTGGTATAAGTCAGTGTAGAAGGATCTCATCGTTGCCTCAGGTCAGGGCAGAGGAATCTCAGCCTTGGTTTAAGTCATTGCAGAGGAATCTCAGCCTTGCCTCAAGTCAGTATAGAGGAATCTCAGCCTTGTCTCAAGTCAGTATAGGGGAATCACAGCCTTGGCTCTAGTCAGTGTAGAGGGATCACGGCCTTGGCTCAAGATAGTGTAGAGGGATCACGGCTTGGCTCAAGTCAGTGTAGTTTGATCACGGCCTTGGTTCAAGACAGTATAGGGGAATCTCAGCCTTGGCTCTAGTCAGTGTAGAGGAACCTCTATCTTGGCTGAAGTCAGTGTAGAGGGATCTCGGCCTTGGCTCAAGTCAGTGTAGAGGGATCTCAACCTTGGCTGAAGTCAGTGTAGAGGGATCTTGGCCTTGGCTCAAGTCAGTGTAGAGGGATCTCGGTCTTGGCTCAAGTCATTGTAGAGGGATCTCAACCTTGGCTCAAGTCAGTGTAGAGGGATCTCCGCCTTGGTTCAAGTCAGTGTAGAGGGATCTCAACCTTGGCTCAAGTCAGTGTAGAGGGATCTCGGTCTTGGCTCAAATCAGTGTAGAGGGATCTCCGCCTTGGTTCAAGTCAGTGTAGAGGGATCTCGGCCTTGGCTCAAGTCAGTGTAGAGGGATCTCGGCCTTGGCTCAAGTCAGTGTAGAGGGATCTCAACCAAGGTCAGTGTAAGTCAGTATAGTGTAGAGGACCTCATCCTTGGCTCTGAGTCAGTGTAGAGGATCTCGGCCTTGGCTCAAGTCAGTGTAGAGGGATCACGGATTTCTCAAGCCTTGGCTGAAGTCCTCAGTCAGTGTAGAGGGATCTCAACCTTGGCTCAAGTCAGTGTAGAAGAACCTCGGCCTTCGGTGAAGTCAGTGTAGTGTGATCACGGCCTTGGTTCAAGACAGTATAGGGGAATCTCAGCCTTGGCTCTAGTCAGTGTAGAGGAACCTCTATCTTGGCTGAAGTCAGTGTAGAGGGATCTCGGCCTTGGCTCAAGTCAGTGTAGAGGGATCTCGGCCTTGGTTCAAGTCAGTATAGAGAGAGATCTCAGCCTTGGCTCAAGTCAGTGTAGAGGGATCTCATCTTGGCTGAAGTCAGTGTAGAGGGATCTCGGCCTTGGCTCAAGTCAGTGTAGAGGGATCTCAACCTTGGCTCAAGTCAGTGTAGAGGGATCTCGGCCTTGGCTCAAGTCAGTGTAGAGGGATCTCGGGCTCTTGGCTCAAGTCAGTGTAGAGGGATCTCAACCTTGGCTCAAGTCAGTGTAGAGGGATCTCGGCCTTGGCTCAAGTCAGTGTAGAGGGATCTCAGCCTTGCCTCAAGTCAGTGTAGAGGGATCTCGGCCTTGGCTCAAGTCAGTGTAGAGGGATCTCATCCTAGGTTCAAGTCAGTGTAGAGGGATCTCGGCCTTGGCTCAAGTCAGTGTAGAGGGATCTCGGTCTTGGCTCAAGTCATTGTAGAGGGATCTCAACCTTGGTTCAAGTCAGTGTAGAGGGACCTCGGCCTTGGCTCTAGTCAGTGTAGAGGGATCTCGGCCTTGGCTCAAGTCAGTGTAGAGGGATCTCGGCCTTGGCTCAAATCAGTGTAGAGGGATCTCGGCCTTGGCTCAAGTCAGTGTAGAGAGATCTCATCCTAGCCTCAAGTCAGTGTAGAGGGATCTCGGCCTTGGCTCAAGTCAGTGTAGAGAGATCTCATCCTTGGCTCAAGTCAGTGTAGAGGGATCTCGGCCTTGGCTCAAGTCAGTGTAGAGAGATCTCATCCTAGCCTCAAGTCAGTGTAGAGGGATCTCGGCCTTGGCTCAAGTCAGTGTAGAGGGATCTCAACCTTGGCTCAAGTCAGTGTAGAGGGATCTCGGCCTTGGTTCAAGTCAGTGTAGAGGGATCTCAACCTTGGCTCAAGTCAGTGTAGAGGGATCTCGGTCTTGGCTCAAATCAGTGTAGAGGGATCTCCGCCTTGGTTCAAGTCAGTGTAGAGGGATCTCGGCCTTGGCTCAAGTCATTGTAGAGGGATCTCAACCGTGGTTCAAGTCAGTGTAGAGGGATCTCGGGCTTGGCTCAAGTCAGTGTAGAGGAACTCGGCCTTGGCTCAAGTCAGTGTAGAAGGATCTCGGCCTTGGCTGAAGTCAGTGTAGAGGGATCTCAACCTTGGCTCAAGTCAGTGTAGAGGGATCTCCGCCTTGGTTCAAGTCAGTGTAGAGGGATCTCGGCCTTGGCTCAAGTCAGTGTAGAGGGATCTCAACCTTGGTTCAAGTCAGTGTAGAGGGATCTCAGCCTTGGCTCAAGTCAGTGTAGAGGAACCTCGGCCTTGGCTCAAGTCAGTGTAGAAGGATCTCGGCCTTGGCTGAAGTCAGTGTAGAGGGATCTCAACCTTGGCTCAAGTCAGTGTAGAAGAACCTCGGCCTTGGGTGAAGTCAGTGTAGAGGGATCTCAACCTTGGCTCAAGTCAGTGTAGAAGAACCTCGGCCTTGGCTCAAGTCAGTGTAGAGGGACCTCGGGCTTGGCTCTAGTCAGTGTAGAGGAACCTCGGCCTTGGCTCAAGTCAGTGTAGAAGGATCTCGGCCTTGGCTCAAGTCAGTGTAGAGGGATCTCAACCTTGGCACAAATCAGAGTAGAAGAACCTCGGCCTTGGCTGAAGTCAGTGTAGAGGGATCTCCGCCTTGGCTCAAGTCAGTGGAGAGGGATCTCGACCTTGGGTCAAGTCACCGTACAGAGATCTCATCCTAGCCTCAAGTCAGTGTAGAGAGATCTCATCCTAGCCTCAGTCAGTGTAGAGGGATCTCGGACTTGGTTCAAGTCAGTGTAGAGGATCTCATCCTAGCCTCAAGTCAGTGTAGAGGGATCTCGACCTTGGCTCAAGTCAGTGTAGAGTGATCTCGGCCTTGGCTCAAGTCAGTGTAGAGGGATCTCGGCCTTGGTTCAAGTCAGTGTAGAGAGATCTCATCCTAGCCTCAAGTCAGTGTAGAGGGATCTCGGCCTTGGCTCAAGTCAGTGTAGAGAGATCTCATCCTAGCCTCAAGTCAGTGTAGAGGGATCTCGGCCTTGGTTCAAGTCAGTGTAGAGGTATCTCATCCTAGCCTCAAGTCAGTGTAGAGGGATCTCGGCCTTGGTCTAAGTCAGTGTAGAGAGATCTCGGCCTTGGTTCAAGTCAGTGTAGAGGGATCTCGGCCTTGGCTCAAGTCAGTGTAGAGGGATCTCTGCCTTGGCTCAAGTCAGTGTAGAGAGATCTCGGCCTTGGTTCAAGTTAGTGTAGAGAGATCTCACCCTAGCCTCAAGTCAGTGTAGAGGGATCTCGGCCTTGGCTCGAGTAAGTGTAGAGAGATCTCATCCTAGCCTCAAGTCAGTGTAGAGGGATCTCATCCTAGCCTCAAGTCAGTGTAGAGGGATATCGGCCTTGGCTCAAGTCACTATTTAGGGTCGGAGGTTGAGTTGAGCCGCCTACATAAGACAATATAAGTGCATGTACTTGTTTGTCACCGTGACACGGTTAAGTGATTTTTTCTGACGCGGGACATACAACGTTGAAAACGAGCTGAACATTCAGTTGTTTCGAGTCAGTTGTCCGTTCACGGCGAATTCCTTCAATTTTAACAATTATTTAACCCATCATATATCAAATCCGATGTGTTGAACTTTCGGTTGTAATTTGATATCTCCTAGAGGTCAACTGCACGTATAAAAGGGAGTTCCACATCTTCCGTTCTTGTACCTGCATGCTCCATGGTGCACGTTTTGTTGTGCAACTATTGGTTATTGGAATACAATACAACAAATACGGTAGTCCCTGTTTAACTTTCTTAACACTTCATGCACGTTCTATTTGCTTAGGTAAAACAAGCAAGCACTCCAATATTACATAACAAATGAACGGAAATTCGATGAATACAGATCAAAGAAAGAAGCCTTGAAATAGCCTGGGTGGGAAGATATATTTTTATTTCAGCTCATGACATTCGTTCCCTTGACCTTGACAGCTCTCCAAAAAATAAACTCAAGATACAACTAATTATGTTCAACCATACCGAATATCAAATCAAGTTCGATATGTCTTATAGGGATGTACGTGAATCATTGTGCGAAAGTAGTCCCACAAGTTCATAATTCTTTAGCTATGAACGTTTCACCTTAGACGAAACCCAGTCGCAAACATGGCGGTGGGAGGCGCGCGGTCGCTATTAAACTGGTCGCGAATGTACACGTCCAAGACGACAAGCCCACTGGCCGCCCGAATCCACTTATTACGTATAAAACAGACTCTGGTGCGTCTTATACAGTAGATTGATTTCTTAAAAAAACGTATACATGAGTGTTTACCACACAACTAATTTCATTTTCAAAGCGTCCAACATCTCACGGTTTACACTATATTCCATCAACGTGTTTTATCTCACATGAAAAGACTTAAAAAATAAGTTGTGCACATTTAGTTATCGAACCATTTATTTGTATGCTCCTTTGTGTTTCATTTGGATCTTTTACTGTGTTTATAATACATGCCTTTGCTGCCCCTGCTTCACGATGTCAGCCGTTCAAACATACCTTTTTACAGGTATCGGGAGCGGTGGGGTAGTCTTGTGGTTAAAGCGTTTGCTCGTCACGCCAAAGACCTGGGTCTGATTCCCCACAGGGGTACTATGTGTGAAGCCGATTTCTAGTGTCCCCCGCTGTGAAATTGCTGGAATATTGCTGAAATATTGCTGGAATATTGCTGGAATAGTGATGAAATAGTGATGAAATAGTGCTGGAATATTGCTGAAATATTGCTGGAATATTGCTGAATATTGCTGGAATATTGCTGAAATTGTGTTGGAATATTGCTGGAATATTGCTGAAATATTGCTGGAATATTGCTGGAATAATGATGAAATAGTGTTGGAATATTGCTGGAATATTGCTGAAATAGTGCTGAAATATTGCTGAAATATTGCTGGATTATTGCTGAAATAGTGCTGAAATATTGCTGGAATAGTGATTAAATGATGCTGGAATATTGCTGAAATATTGTTGAAATATCGCTGAAATATTGCTGGAATATTGCTAAAATAGTGCTGGAATACTGCTGGAATATTGCTGGAATATTGCTGAAATTGTGCTGGAATATTGCTGGAATATTGCTGAAATCGTCGTAAATACACACTCACTCACTACAGGTATTGGCCAAACGTATTCATCGAAAAGAATAGACCATACATGAAGACATATCAGCCGATAACCAGTCTGTGAGAACAAGGCACCACGTGATCAGCTACACTAAGTCACATGACATCAAAGGCCATAGACAAACATCCCTAGTGCAAATCTGATCTTCCTTCTTTGAGCGTCCCATAAAGTCGAACCGACCAGTTGGAGAAATCGTTACAACAGTATCCGTCCTTGCAGCTATTTGAATGCAGTATCATCAGAGTAAATGTTTCTGGTAAACGTTCCTGATGTAATGTATTGATCTGGCTACACAGATCGAAGATGACATTATCACGTTTCAATCTGTTTTGTATCTAAACAAAGTCACAAACCTCCGCTTAAACCGTGACAAGATTGAATTAAACACTGTTTCAGCTTCATTAAAGGTCAAAATGGGGTGACATTAAAGTATAACCCGACATATAGTATTATACCAAACTTTCAATACAACATTTACAGTAAACGTACAATGTATATACTGAAGGAATCAAATAACAAAACTTCCTTTACTTTTATATCTTTACATTATCTATTGAAAGAATGAGAATAAACTTGGAAGGGAAAAAACAGGAACACATGTGCTTTAATGTGTTTCCTTTTTTGTTACCCTCAGTATATTTGCAAATATAATTATAAGCCATTCTACAAATTTACTTTTAACTTATGATTTGTTTACTTTAGATTACATATGGTTGGAATATTACAGACACGCGCTTCATTCACTCACTCACTCACTGCTCATTGGATAACAACACAAAAACTAACCGTTTATGAACTGCAAGTGTGAAATAAGAGTGTCATATCATTTTTGGTATGACTGGTCCAGGGGTTCGAACAGCGATCACCTGTTGTCCTAATATCAGGAAACATTACCCACGTTGATTCGGTCAGCGAATCAGTGTGAATTCCAGTTATATTTTCAGCTCCCTTGGAAGAGTACTTTTCGCCAAGATTCGTTAAACAGAGGGGGCGGTGGGGTAGCCTAGTGGTTAAAGCGTTCGATCGTCACGCCGATGACCCGGGTTCGATTCCCCGCATGGGTACATTATGTTAAGCCCATTTCTGGTGTCCCCCGCCGTTATATTGCTAAATTCACTCACTCATTAAACAGAGAAATGCCATGATCTATTATTTTCATGATGTTGACATAACATGGCTCTTTTCTACACGGTTTTCCTTCCTGTATATCGTGCAAACAGAGGCTATACGATCAATTATTGATTGCACCTACAACTAAAAGGTCAATGAGAAAGTTGCACAAAATCAAACACTCCAGGTGTTGTGTCAACCTCCCTGCTCTCAGTCAATTTATTATAGACCAACAGAAGACAGTAACCGATTTGCCTTCGCTTTTGCCTAAAGCAGTAAGACTTGCGTTTGATCGTCTTGGCATGACAAAAAGAAGAGAAAGAATATAAATGTACTAATTAAGGATTTAATTTTATCATCCAAAACTGTGTTCCACAGAAGATTTCGCTTGTTTGAGATCATATGATATCTCCTAGGAGATATCGTTTTGACAGTAGATTTTGTACAATGCCCTGACAATGATATGACATCGCTGAACTGCAAGTCTAATGGTAGTACAATGTTGAGAGATGTGCATTTTTCATTGGAAACTACACAAAGAATGATTTTTGATTATAAATAGAATCTCACCCTCGTGTCTTCTGATATCAATTATATCAACACTCGTTGATAAAGGTAAAAATATCCTCGGCAAGCCTCGGATATTTGTAACTTTATCAACTCGTGTTGATATAATTGACATCAGTAGACACTTGAGAGAGATTCTCTGTATATCCAACTGACAAAGACACAAACATCGCTTTGAGATTAATATGGCGCCTGGCTGCTCAAAACAGTGCTGCATTTGTTGGAACAACAAACCTTAACAGTTACATACAAGCTCCACATAGTGAGGGCCGTCTTGTGGTGAAAGCGTTCGCTCGTCACGCCAAAGACCCGGGGTTCGATTCTTGTGAGAAGAGACCTCTGTGGTCAGGCTTCACTGACTTGGTTGACACATGTCATCGTTTCCCAATTAGTCATCTGTTCGATGCGCATGCTGTTGATCACTGGATTGTCTAGTTGACACTCGATTGTATACAGACCTCACCCTATATGGTTTGGAATATTGCGGCGTTGAAAATAACAACAACAAAACATTAACTAACATTAGAAACCTCATCCTCCATCTTGACATACGAAACAACAGGTAGGGTGGAAGGTAGTCAAAGCATTCGCTCGTCACGCCGAAGACCCGGGTTTGATTCCCCACACGGGCACAGTGAAGACCATTTCATGTGTACCCCGCCGTGATATTGCTTAATGTTTGGTAAGCCATGCTCAATCTATGTGAATTTTGATAACTTGAAAGTACGATCATAAATAACGCAAAACATATTGTCGCATTCATAATTCTGCTGTCCATTTTATTGTTGCACCAGATAAAATAGAAAAATAACGTTAGTATTTAGTCAACCGTACCATACAAACACCTGTAAAGTGAAATGCAGAGTGACATGTTCAGATATATCAGTTTGTGGAACACTGTTGATTGTTGAAACTGATATCGGCGGAACCGGAACTACCAATGATACAGATGACCCGGATGTAGGTTTGGTTTTCCAGGAAGACAAAGACCACTTGTTCTCGCTGTGCCCTCTGACTGTAACAACGATGTCATCCGACACATCTATCTGGACAACCCGTTTTGGGGACACGGGTACTACCTTGCTCTCCTCGCCGTATATCACGACTTTCTTGGAGCTGCAGATGAAAGAGAAATTCGTTCTTGATTGTCCAACTTATTCAGTCTCCTTTCTACTACGATAAACTAATCCTTTTGCTGATAATACATAAAGGGCGTTGGGGTAGCCTAGTGGTTAAAGCGTTCGCTCGTCACGCCGAACGTGGGTTTGATTCTCCACGTGGGTACAATGTTTAAAGCCCATTTCAGGTGTCCCCGCCGTGATATTGTTGGAATAGTTCTAATCCCATAATAATGAATTGAAATATTAATTTGAGCCCGGGCCAAGCCGGACCGAAAGCTGTGATACTGTGTGGTTGTTGAGAATGTATAGAAAATAGGGCTTCACTTTAAGCAACGTGTTTGCTTCAAATACTACGCTTTGAGACTCTATAAAGACGTACTTAGGTAGATACAACTCTATTCTAGAGATATAGACAGAAATCAGGATACATGCGTGGGGTTTAAGTTGTTTTGAGAGCCCGGGCCATGGCGTACCGAACGCTTGTGATACTGTTTGTTGAGAATATGTAGAAAAGAGAGCTTCACTTTCAGCAACGTTTTTGCTTCAAATACTACGCTTTGAGACTCTGTGAAGTGATATGTAGGTAGATATATTACTAATCTATGGATATAAACACATTTCAAGATACACGTGTGAGGTTTGGTTGTTGTTTTTGACAGCACGGGCCAAGTGGGGCCGAACAGAGGCTAAACAGATTGCGGATTTTGTTTTCCGAGGACTTTATTTTCCTAAATCGTTGGGAATGGAGAGAGAAAGGGGCTTCACTTTTACTTTACTTTATGAAGTGATATTTAGGTAGATATAATACCATTTTGTGTTTCATGTGTATTAGTAAATATAAGCATATGCATACGCGCCGGTATTGTTTACAGTGAAAACACATAAGAATTTTTGTTTTGTGAATGCATACTTTGTTTGATCCTTTATTACATATTACAAAATTTTGTGATTTCAAATATTTCTTTTAATATACATAATCATGTCATATTTGCCCATTGACACTCGCCGATATCCACGTCTCTTTAACATAAACATCCTGTGCTGATTCAGCCTGAGACAATAAAAGTTAATTAGGGAACCCCAATATCTTAGTTAAGGAAAGAAAAGCAGTCAAAACACTGTCACTTCCTGGCCAGGACCGCTAAGAGAAGTAAGCAACACATAACAACAAGGCGGTGTCTTTTCTACGGGAATCTCGGTATGAAGTCATTGTTGTTGTCTGGGTTTTTCACCATTAACTATACATTTTCAAACTATGCATTTGTGAAGACAGGAAGTGTATCGACCCAAATGTGAAGGTTTCGTTTTTAATATTCTGCAATCCATTTTAGTATTACCCGGTGGCCCGTCCGGGCCGACTTTTCTTGGCCCGACTTTTAGGCCATCCCTACGTTGTAGTACGTTTAGATCAAATTCATAAAGAAGTCGATGACCTACCCCTGATAAAACACAGGGCTTGTGTAATAGAGGCAGGGACCGCTGCGGCTACAGCTCTTGCTGATGGAGAGCGGTGACGATGGAGTAAAGGCCGTAACGGACGTCTTCTTATCAACTGAGCGGGGAAATACCAGTGACGCGTTAAACTGAAAAGAAAACCAAAAATATTTATGATATAGGCGTCAGGCGCCTGTGGTGGAAATACAAGTTTCGATTACTGAAGGGGTGTTTTGCCATTCAGTAATAATTGCATTCATCACTTTCCCACAACGTCAACAATAGATGTCTCATTTCCTAATGCCGGTATTCCAGAAGTTCTCATTTAAAGGGTAGTATTTTCAGTAAACTACTAAGTTGGTGGTAAGTTTCGAGGAAAACTGACAACCAGCAGACTATTCGATTCTTTGAGGTAAATACAAACGACAAACAGACATGAGAGAGTCCTTTTGACTTTCAGAAGAAATCTCTGCTAAAAGCAAAGTCTATTTACAATTTTGACTACATCATGATTTCGTTTGACGCCGCATTCAGCAGTATTACAACAGTACGACGTGGTATGCAAACAATCGAATCTGAACCAGACAATCCAGTGATGCACACGCTTGTCAACTGTTCACCTAAAAACGTTCGGGAACGTATGGCACAAGTCAAAATTGGGAATTGCATCGTACATCATTTGTGTCACTGATGCATCAAATATTGAAATGCCCTCTACCTGTCTACAATAAAACGTTGTGACAGCTTACTGATGCCTGGAATGAAATCTTAATCGAACGCAGAACCATTCCGTCAGCCTCGAGAAATCGATTGAGCGATTCGAACTATATGTATCCTGAATGACTTTATACCATGTAGGAAGGCAGACCCCCACCGCAGCCAAGGGCAGTTTAGTAACCACAGCGCTCCGATAGTCCCATGACAAACCTTCAGAGCTTGAGCTACAATAACCCGTAAGCCAGAGATCTATTAAACGGGGAATGTATTTGATAATATTTAAGCATTTTACAAGCCTGTTTGTGCCCCACTCGTGTGATTTCGGGACAAATCTTCTTTGGGGTTGCGGAGAGGGAGAATGGGGACAAATACATAAAAATCGTTAAAAGGAATTCCGGAAACTCACGAAGTCGAATCCGGCCGCACTCGGTGTTAACGCAAAGTCTGCTTCCATGGCAGAGGCCATGATAATTCGAAGACAAAGTCTCCGATTCTGGAATACGTGGTATAGATTTCTCCATTCGGACCAGAACCATCTTGGAAGGCTTGCTGAAAACGAGAGTTTTCCATTTCATTTAACAGTTCCTTCAACAGTCATTTAAAAAAATCATCATAATCACTTTCCATCAATATTTAAAACATATGTATAAGTGTTTCCTCTCTGACAGTGCTTTATGCCTGATTGGAATAACTCAAAATATTTGATAAAACACATTGTTTACTGTGTAGACTACCCAATTTTTCACGTATCACCAAGAATCATCCATATCATGGGGTTTTGATGTATGAGATGGTTATAACCGACAGATTTGGCTTCCCTGTTGTTTTAAGCGGGTTTAACAATATACCAGCAAAATTACGAATGGGGACAACAAACATGACTTCACACATAATACCCATATGGGGAATAGAAGCCGGGTCTTCGGCATGACGAGCAAACGCTTTAACCGCTAAGCTACCCCACCGCCCCTTCCCTGGTTAAAATGCCACCCTATGATACCATAAATTGTCCTGGACAAATGAAGGCGCTATAATCAAGATAGACTGTATGTGTAGGCATAACATAGCATTGTTATTTGTAACAATTAGCGTTTTATGTTTCGATCAGATAAAAATGAGAGATAATCGACCTGCCACATTTGACTGTCAATGGCCATGGCTGGTTTTGATGGCTGCAGAATCAAACCGTTCATGTTGCAGCATCTGAAACAGAATGAGGGAACGACGTAACCAACACCATCCTGGCTGAATCACGGCCTAATATAATCAGGGAAATATACACATCAGTTTTAGTTTCAAGAACCCCAGAACATACGCTGGTGGTCAGTTACCTCCCTTGCCTCGGGGAGATGGTCACCGGGCTCTGATCCATGACTTGATTGTCTTGTCAAGTGTTTGTTCACAGGCCACCGTCTTATGGAAGTGACGTTTCTGTACGACGCCAGAACGACGTCTTTTATGCAAATCTTGAGATGGGGGAGCCACCTGTAGGATAGGACCTGTTTTCTATGAACACCTGCGTCCCGAGCGTTCGTAGCGCTACGACATTCGTAAGCCTATGATAAACTATGGAGTCACGACAGGTCGTAACGTTACGAACGCCTTATGGACCGGGCCCCTGGTGTCATAACTGATTTTCAGACATCCATTTATACACGTTTCAACACCATGTTGCCTTTTACGCACAGCTGAATCTGTTTCTGCAACAAATCGACATTATACTTCTTTGCTGTTGACTTACGTCATGAGGAGGGTGACGTTTGTGCCGTTGACGATGTCTCCTGGGGCGACAGGCCCAGTGCTGAGGGTGGAGACGATCACCTGCAGTTCGCTGTGGGGTTCCGTTAGATCTGGGAAAGTGAAACATAGCTTTTACTTACCAGTTTAACTAAATGTCCTACACCTATTTACAGAATCTAGAGGCGGTGGGGTAGCTTAGAGGTTAAATCAATCGCTCGTCACGCTGAAGACCCGGTTCGATTCCTCAAATGGGTTCAATATGTGAACCCCATTTCTGGTGTCCCCCGCCGTGATATTGCTGGTATATTGCTAAAAGCGGCGTAAAACCATACTCACTCACTTAATTTAGCGTCTTAGTTAAGCTTTCAAAAATATTTATGGTAGGCATTTGGAGGCCATTTCCATCAAGGAATGTGAAGGCCACGATTCAGTAACAAATTTCTAACTATATTTCTTATTTTGACTTGATATATTCTTTGTCATTAATATGTGACAGTTGTGCAAGACCCGTGAAGATCCGGGGTAGAATAGGTCTTCAGCAACCCATGTGCTTGCCATAAAAGGCGACTATGCTTGTGGTAAGAGGCGACTAACGGGATCGGGTGGTCAGTTTCGCTGACTTGGTTGACACATGTCATCGGTTCCCAATTGCGCAGATCGATGATCATGCTGTTGATCACTGGATTGTCTGGTCCAGACTCGATTATTTACAGACCGCCGCCATATAGCTGGAATATTGCTGAGTGCGGCGTAAAACTAAACTCACTCACTCACTCAGTTGTGCAAAGGGGTCTTAGATCTCAGTGTACATACGATCATGGGAACTCCACGAAAATATTGTGTTCAGTTCTTGGTCAATCAAATACAGCTGTCAACTTTGTCACCTCCAATATACAGGTTGATGTTCATGAAGCATCCGCGTCCCGTGCTGGGATTCGAACCACGGACCTTCTCATCCGAAGTCGGACCCCTTGTCCACATGACCAAAGAGGTTAACCCCGTCAGCAAGCTGACTTACAGACTTACAGACTTTCCGTCTGGACCAGACAATCCAGTGGCTGACATCATGAACATCGATCTACGCAACTGGGTTACTATGACAAGCATCAGTCAAGTCTAACCACCCGATAATGTTAAGGAAAACGTGTTGCTTGTTATCACTTCCAACTCGGGTCCAACGGTATGATGGTATTACACTGCAAGTTTAAATGACGGTTTTCAGATATTCCAAAAGAGGAGTCATCTAGGAGTACTGATTTTTGTGGGCTTATTTAGATAGAACCATCAACCAATAGCAGAGAATCTCACAAACAGTTACCCGGATATTTTGGGTTCCCAGGCTGATGCTCCGTCGACCAGAAGGTGTCCTTGAATGGAGCTATACCCATGGCGTCTGCGAAAATTGACGATATTCCAATTTTCCAGTTATCTGCCCCTGCCCGGTAGTCGCCGCTGACTCTGGCCTGAGAGATTAGACAGACAACATATGGTGTGTTGAGCTCAACTGGTAGCATGAGCTGAAACCATCGTTGTGTTTAACATTCCAAATATTGACATGTGGTATTCCGGATTTTGTGATTTTGCTGTCAAAGCTTTGGCAACTAAACTCATTCTGCCTGGACATGCAGTACTGTATAGAGATGTCTGACCTACCTGTGTGACGACCGGTATCTCCAGACTCTGCATGGCGTGTCTGGGGTTGGACATGTTGGACATGCAGTACTGTATAGAGATGTCTGACCTACCAGACTCACCTGTGTGACGACTGGTGACTCTGCATGGCGTGTCTGGGGTTGGACATGCAGTACTGTATAGAGATGTCTGACTCACCTGTGTGACGACCGGGATCTCAGACTCTGACCTCATGCACTGTATAGAGATGTCTGACTGTGTGACGACTCTCCAGACTCTGCATGGCGTGCCAGGGTTGGACATGCAGTACTGTATAGAGATGTCACTGTGTGACGACCGGTATCTCCAGACTCTACATGGCGTGTCTAGGGTTGGACATGCAGTACTGGATGGTGATGTCATGATTCCGGGCCCCCCTTCCCATCTGCATGAGCCACGTCCGTCCAAGACTGACGTCAGACAGGGTGATGTTCATCTCATTGAACTCCACGTTCAGCCAGTCCTTCATTTCCAAACACATCAAGCATCAAACACTTAAACGCTTCTGTACAAAAATATATTCATAGCACACATCAGATCCTATCATACCCAAGCATGAACGAGCTGTTTGTTGTAGTTGAAGAATACTACTGGCAAACAAGGATAAGTTGGACCGGCGCAGAGAACGCGGTGCACGGCAATGAGCAAACCCATTTGGTTTGTGAAAGGAAGAGCAGATGTAGGCTAGTGCACGTGCATTGCAGGCAGGCACCCATACATGCTAATACGTGTCAATTGTCAGGTCGGTGCTCGTATCAGCGACAAATGCTGATTGATGATAAAGATGATTATGGTGATGCTTACGACAATGATGACGACGATAGTGACGATGCTGGTGATGATGATGACGACGATGAAAATGATGACGATAACGATGCTGATGGTGATGGTGATGGTTAGAGATGATGATAAAATCACTTTTCAATGTGTATCATTACGAAATTGAAATATGGTCTCCCTTCAACCTCCCCTTTAATCTCACGTCCATCTTTAAAGCGGGGCACGGTGGGATATCCCGTCCGCTTCACGCCGAAGACACGGGTTCGATTCCACATACGTATAAAAGGTGTGAAGCCTGTTTCTGGTGTCCCCCCGCCGTGATATTGCTTGAATATTGCTAGATGCAGTGTAAAACCATACTCTCTCTCACACTCTTCAAAGCGGAATTTAAAAGTTTTAGTTACAACGTATACAACACAAAAATAGATTGTCATAGTTTGAATTTGTCTAAATTTCACTCTAAAAAATATGGTTTCAAACTTCAGTCAAATTGAAAACCAGTAAAATGAACATAATCAACGAAAGAACACATTTCCCATGATTAAACTCTCTGATACGGAGGGTTGATAATAAACGTACCTGTTCGTAAAGAGTCAGTCCCCATTCTCGCGACGTCTCAAATAAATAGTCCCAAAAAGCCTATCAAATGGAAAAAAAACAAACATAATTTCATTAACACTGTGGAAATAATATGTGACATTTAGAATAACAATCATTGTAGAAGTTGGTAGATGGTGAGTGGTCCTGTGCTCACAAATCAGTTGAAGTTAAGCGCGGATAGTTCTTGGATGGGTGACCGTGTTTGGCAGCTTGACTCCGGAGAGTTTCTAGGACTTCAGTCCTGCCCCACAACGAAGCACATGTGATATATGTGGTTTCACCTTAGGCAAGTGAGTTTGTTAAAAATCCAGCAGAAAATGGGTACCCGGAGGAATAAGTCATATGACTATTAACCTTCTGGCGCCTCACAGGCAGCTTGGGTAATAATAATCAGATTATGCACTTTGAGCATCCTTATGCTTGGAAATAGCGCCACAGAAAAGCACCGTTATTATTATTGTCATAAAACATTTGGTATCCATATTTGGAAATCACCTGGTCAATAGGAATGGCTTTAGACGTTGCCTCTTCAACAATAAAATCAAACTGGCCACCGTTCTGTCTCGCATAGGTTGTCTTTGATGACCTGTCAGTGGACATCATTAATCAAAAAACATCGAATGATTTCAATTATGATGATGATTAAAATATACCCCCATTCAGTAACACATATGACATGTGCATGTTGGCGCTTTCGTTATGAACCTGACGCATAGTTGTTTGTTTGAGTTTTAACGTCACACTCAGCAATATTCCAGCTAAATGGCGGCGGTTTGTAAATAATCGAATCTGGACCAGACAATCCAATGATCAGCAGCATGAGCATCGATCTACGCAATTATTGTTATGCGTTTTCTTTTTAGGGGTTTGGGAATTTAGCCCTGTATGTAATTTCAAATTTGAGTTTGTTCTATCATTGAGGTGGATTAAGTATCCCCGAACAACCTTCATTTCAAACCATTGTAACGCTTTACTGGAAAGTGTCATTACTTCACGGTCTACCAAGCATACCGTGAAGTCCTTTATTCTATCGCCTTCTCCTGTTAAAGGGACAGTTATCTGTTTATGCCATGATGCTCGTGGGTGCTATAGAAGAAAACAGCCCCTCACAAATGACGTCTACACGATGAAAGTGGTTTCAAGAGTATGCATCTGTTTCTATACTTCCCCAACAATATCGCTTCCCACGCCTCCCTCGACTGTCTTCTCACCAGTATCGATTATGCGCTCCAACAGGCCAGCCTGTCTTGTCGTAGAGGGACCTGAAACACAAGGTATATTGTATCATGTTGGGTTCGAATCCAGGGTCGCGACATGCATCACACCAGGCTTTCCTTCCACATTCAGCGGGCACGATATGATATAACTGAAATGCTGCACACGAAGCATCCTCGATAATCTCCAGGGTATACGTTACGATCACTCTCCACAATACCCTGGATGCATCCACGGCTTGGTTCCATAATTATATTACCTCCCTTGGTCGGCTTTTTATCCAATCAGGTGTCTACGCTGGGAAGTTGAGCGAACCAATCACAACTCACTTTCGCTTCTTAAATTATCTAACCGTTTAAACTTGGCAACACAATTGATGCAGAGGTACTCTGAAAGAGGTAGAAGGAGTTCTTTCATATATTTTTTTAAAGTTTCAGATCTGTCAATTTGTCTGTATTATTTTCTCAAAAATCTGAGTGGCACTCCGAACAAACCTTCACGACTGCGGCGCTATCTTTGTTGACACTGGCAAGCTCGGATGTAACGGCGGCTTAGCTGATTGGCTACTTTGAGAATGCGGAGCAAGCAAAGGGAGGTAATATAATTATGGGGCCAAGCCGTATATGCGTCCAGGGTATAGTGGAGAGTGGTGGTAACGTATACCCTGGAGATTATCGAGGATGCACACGAAGCGGAAACGACGCGATATTGCGCTAATTATAAAGGTACTTTAACAGAGGGATTACATCAAATTTAAAACAAAAACTAGGTTTATGTCCTGTTCTGGCTGATTCTAACGATAAAGACATACCGGATATATAGAGATTACAAAACGAGTGGTTGTTGAATATGGAAAATATTCCAACGAGATATTTGTAAATATATACTTTGATTTATTTACGAGCGAAATCAAGCAGACAATGCCGGATGTAAACAAAACGAAATTTACGTAGACTTTGACGTAGACTTTGATAAAACTGGCATATGTAAAAACACTAGAACTAGTCTTCTATTAACTGTTAGTTACACATTTTACAGTGTCTACTTTCATTCCGATTGTCCAGATATCCCCTGAACATGGTATAACAATCATTAAATATCCATGTAACATATAACTTTGAACCATGGAATTCTTCAACTAAATACAAGTATGACGCCTCTGGAGAGGTACCAACAAAATTTGTATATTATCAATATACTACTATATGTTACTAATATCTAGGTCTTCAAGGGCAGCTTACTAACAGTTGGAAGAATACGGACTAGTTTACGGGCGGTGGGGTAGCCTAGTGGTTAAAGCGTTGGCTCGTCACGCCGAAGACCCGGGTTCGAATCCCCACATGGGCACAATGTGTGAAGCCCATTTCTGGTGTCCCCCGCCGTGATGTTGCTGGAAAATTGCTAATAGCGGCGTAAAACCGAATTCAGTCAGTCGGACTAGTTTACAATGAGTTCTTGAGGGCCCGTACAAGGATTCTTTACGTACAGACTTCACCGGCACTGCTTGCTCCGCTGATCAAGGGAACTTAAGCAGAAATAGAAACAATGCAAACACCAAACCAATAGTATTGCTTGAACAGATATCTAAAGGATCATCTATTTGGTTGTTATGTAATACATTAGAGAACGCACATGTACTGAATACATCACGAACCGCATTGTATTATTGTTGACAACATAAATAATTACATCTGGAAAAGAAAAATGAATGTTCTGGATACATTAACGATTCTTTTCAAGAACAGCTCTTTGCCAACTACCTTTGTCTTTTTTCTAAATTCGCTTTCGTGTTTAAGGCTTTTAGGGCGATTGCCGTCACCAGTAACACGCCTGTTTCACACACCTGTAACACACCTGGGATTGTTTCTTTGACTTGGATTGTATGCATCATTTTCAATGTTCAAAGTGCTAATGCATGGCACTAGCGAATGGATGTCATTGTTTTGTTGTAATTAGTTGTGTTGTTTCTCTTGGTTTATTAAGATGATTGCTGTGGACGGAAACTATTCTCCAGGTACAGATAAATATGCTGTTTTATGTCTCATGGGGCATTTCTACCCGGAAGACATTTCAAAAAGCCTAGGTGAAAATTAAAAAAACCAACGAAACGAAACAAAATGTATGTGTGAATGTGTTCGACTCGAACAAACAAATAGCTTTTTGCGACAAATAGAATAATTCTATCCTCAGTATCACAATCCTGTTATGAGCAAGGAACATTAATAATTACACAGCCCTGGGGATATAAAAGTGTATTCAGACTGGGCACAGAGCGAGTACAATGATTTTAGTCAATAATAAGAATTTTCCTTTGTATCCACGGGCGCCTGAAAACAGACCCTTCATTAGAATGTATACCGATCATTGTTTTCATAATAGCAAACTATGTGTTGATATAACTGTGGCACTGAGAAAGCGTGATCATTTGGAGAGATATAAAAGGTTGAAAAAACCCACCATTCAGTGCGTGAGTGAGTATGATTTTACGCCGCTTTTAGCAATATTCCCACAACTTCACGGCGTGAGACACCAGAAAGGGGCTTCATACATTGTATTCAGATAAGTATTCGAACCGGGGTTTCGGCGTCGCATGCCAACAGGACATGTGAGTTAACATGATCATGATACACTGTATGAATGTCAATTGGTCAGTGTGGAATACTAGCGCAAATATTCTGGCTACACTCTAACAACGATAATAATTCACTGAAAACTTCCTCTAGCACTTGATTGCCTCTTTTCTGAAAATGAAAATTAAGAATAAACATAAATCCAAAGAAGCTTATTCTTCCTTGTTGTCCCCAAAACGCGATCCGTGAGAGTTATCTCCCTTGGTGAAGCGAGGGAAACCTCACAACTGTTTCAAGAAGTCCCCAAAAGGAAGGTACCCAGAGATTACTAGAGGATGGATGGGTGGGTTAATCCTCAAGTGTTAGAGGTATTATTATTATTATCACTGTTGAGAATGTCCAAAATGCTTACGAGTACATCCCTCTAACACATGATTGCCGAATCCCACAATGACGTCACTATGACGTCACATGACGTCACTTCCTAACCATTTACGTCCTACAGATATTCACAGGAATACAGGTTTTATCGCTGACTGGACAGTCTCCGATCAGAAAACCACAATATACCATTTGAGGCGCTAGACGCAAGAACGATCATCAGCTCACGACAACCAGCCTCAGCTCTGAGTTGAGAGGTAACGCAATGAAAGATGTCTGTGCTTGTCCAATTCCCAGTCTGTTTTGCCCCAGGAGGTTTAGGCAGAAACAATTGATACACGTTCATGGAGACCCTGCAGATGTTCCGTCACATCGCGAAGGTAGAAAGACGTGAAAGTATCAGAGGAGCCCACTGGCCGGCATAATCTTCTCCACAGATACAGTTTTCCAGGTAGCAATAAAGGAAGATATAGCCTCTATCTCCTGTGGCCTGAGTGATCCATACACAGGAGGCTAATGTTCAGCCACAGCATATATAAGTGAGTTATATGGTCTTTTTCACCCAGGCAGCGACTGTGGCCTTGCCAATGTACTTATCTGAATTTTCTTGACAGATCAAGAGACAAAGGTTCAGTCCTCTGAATGTATCACTGCATGGTACGCGGTGTCTTTGGGTAAAGAGTCATTCTGTGATTCTCCAGCAGTTCCTGACAGTGCTTGTTCCATGGGCGCAATGACAACTGTATCCAGCTGTGACGATTGGTTACGACTGATCTAATCCTAAATGCATCTGAAGTTAGGTGTGGGCGATAATATCGGTTAACCGGTATATTGCAATTCGAACTTCACAATACGATATATTGCGGTACACTTTTCGCGATACGATCGGCAACTTCCGTGATCATGATCGGTAATTTTCGTGATGTAGTCAATAATACTTAAAACATTTGTATCTCCTTTATAGTGTTATACATTATCAGTTTTGGGAATGTTTGTTGGTCATATAGTTGTTTTTGCGTGACCATGTAAAAAAAATATATAGCTACCGAAGGCAGACGCTTTTTCTCGAGTTCCAGGCTTTAGAGCGAAATCTTCTGTTTGGAAACATTTTTTTGTGGTATCAAATATGTTTATCGTGCATTGTATGTTTTCTGCACAAGGTAATTTTGAACGTGCAAAACCTTCGCAGGAATGAGTTTAGTTTTACGCCACAATGTTCCAGTAATATCACTGCGGGGAACACCAGAAATGGGATTCACACCATATACCCATGTGGCGAGTCGAACCGCGAACCGTCGGAGCGTTAGCGCAGGCGCAACAGACCCAGGGAACCAGGCTGTCCGGCGTTAACCTTTGCAGGATGTTCGAAGATTTTCAATTGTTACGTTCTGTCGACAAGACCATCTCCTTCCTGAAACTTGATCGTAACGTAGTTGGATGCCCACAAATATTTCGGTACGCTTCCGTATCATTATCAACTCATGTAGTATTATTTCACGACAAATGCCAAAATAAGCACCATTGGTATTCGTGTGTTCTGAGAATGCCTACATTTATATTTTATAGAACTGTACCCTCGCGAAAATACTGTTAATATATTCCCCGCTTGGGGCATACTTGTAAAATATACTGTTCAATCTCCGAGATGCGTCTGTGTCTCTCCTGACAAACACCATCTTGCCCACACAAAACGTTTAGGCCTTGGCTAAGTCAGGCTTAAACACTTACTGAAATCCACTTGGAAAGAGTTCGGCCATGGGAACCCATGTCAAAGTGCCATCTTGTGGTCCTTTAGGGTAGAAGTAGGAATCGAACTGGACGTATCTACAAGGGAAAAGAAAACAATATTGTTATGAAGATGTGTTTTTGTTATTAAATATAATGTCACATTGATTATTAACCTTTAGTTGTTATGGGTAACAAAAGTTTATAGCGCTGAATGTGGATTTGAACTCACACCTTGAACTTACGCTATGTATTTTCACCGTTTGAGAGTGGGCTCGGGAGTTGCCTCCCCTTTGTTTGTTTTGTTTCAGTGGAAGGGGGGTGGGATTCCAGTAAGTTCTAAATGCTAGTTGTGAGGCGTGGCCTTTTCTAGAATTCTCTGGAACTGTATAAGAGGTATATAAAGGGTTGTTGCTGAGATGGATGGAGGGACTACTTTGGATTTACGATTTCAAGAGGCCTCGTCTACAGTGAACTTTCAACAGCTGTCAACAATATTCGATCAGTACATCTGTTTTTTACTGGGAATATCAATACTTTGGTGAGTTAATATTTTAGATTTGCGACCCAATATTTTAGATTTGTGATCCAATAGTATTGTATTAGACACATGTTCTGTCATTCATTGTAATCTTGTTTATTCAATATACAATTGAATATTACAGACTCGTCTATGTTTTATTTTGCTGGTTTAAAGGGGACTCACAAGCCTTTTATCTCTGATATATAAATTGACTGACTGACTGACTGAGATTGGTTTTACGCCGCTTTTAGCAATATTCCAGCAACATCACGGCGGGGGACACCAGAAATGGGCTTCAGACATTGTACCCATGTGGGGATTCGAACCCGGGTCTTCGTCTTCGGCGTGACGAGCCAACGCTTTAACCATTAGGCTACCCCACCGCCCTATAAATTGAAGGGGTACTTACAACAAGAGTACATATGTACATATTAGGGAGCTGGTATTTTAACTTGTCAACAATCCCTTTCACATCTGTGAATAAAATATGTTTGAATCCAGTGATTGACATCATGAGCATCTATCAAGACGTATGTCATGATGACATGCATCAACCAAGTCAGGGAGCCCCACCACCACATCCCGTTAGTCGGGTGGGGTATCACGGATAGGGTGTCATGGATGGGGTGTCACGTATAGGGCGTCATGGATGGTGTGTCATGGATAGGGTGTCATGGATGGGGTATCTGGATAGGGTGTCACGAATAGGCTGTCACGGATAGGATGTCAGGGATAGGGTGTCGCGGATGGAGTGTCACGGATAGGGTGTCACGGATGGGGTGTCACGGGTGGGGTGTCACGGATGGGTGTCACGCATGGGTCGTCACGGATAGGGTGTCACGGGTGACAGGAAGCGTGTATGGAAATTGTCAGACATCTTGGCAACTAACCTGTAAGGAATACCAGTCCGGTTGACGTAGGCTCTGACGTCAAGAATGGTCTCTTCATAGTTCTTCCCGGGTTCAGTGTTGTAATAGTAATAAGCCCCTAGGACAGATACAGATCACAACAATCAGCAATTGTTAAGTCCCATAATACATTTCAGACAAAATGGCTTCATATATGCCGTTCCATTCTACAACAATGGACTGACTGACTGACTGAGTATGGTTTTACGCCGTTTTTAAGCAATATTCCAGCGATATCACGGCGGGGACACCAGAAATGGGCTTCACAAATTGTACCCATGTGGGGAATCGAACCTGGGCCTTCGGCGTGACGAGCGAACGCTTTAACCACTAGGCTACCCCACCGCCCCTACTACAACAATGGAGGTTACTATTGCACGAGTGTACTGTCTATTTTATAACATCGCACTGAGCGATATTCCAGATATATGACAGCTAGCGGTTTGTAAATAATCGCGTCTGGACCAGACAATCCAGTGGTCAACAGCATGAGCATCGATCTACTCAACTGGGATACGAAGAAGTTGTGTCAACCACGTCAGCGAGCCTGACTACCCGATCCCATCTGTCGCCTCTTACAAACATGGTTGCTGAAACAATTCTAACCCGGACTTCCACGGGTTTGTCCCGCCAGAACCCAGCTATTTACACAGCTACAATTCCTTGTGCATAGCTGCTTCCATAAATCGTGGTTAGAATCTTGTTTAGCATAGACAATGTTAGAACCATGTCCGTGTTGTTTGTTTCATCTGATGCCTGTATTCTTTCCCACGAGAAGCTAACAAGCCAATACAAGACATAATGTACAAACTGGCGTTGAACCTAACCCAGCTAACACACAACGTTTTCGCAACGTTAACGTTATGGGGAGGTTGTAGATTAACATCATGACACAACGTTGTCAAAATGTTAGTGTTACTATCACTACTATACAGAGTCTAACAAACCCTAGTAGAAGGTCGCGTCGGCTAATCGTTTGAACTGATCAATCAGAACACAGCTTACCAAATCGCGAAAGTTAACATTCGCGCATACCATCTGAACTTTTACCTCGAAAACGTTTGTACTCGAACGATTCCGAATGTTATTTTGCGCACGATCGCTTCAGAGTGATGACGCCATTATTCACAACAGTAAATAAGCAGTCGCTGAAAATAGCGTTTTTGTCAATATTCCAGGATGTCATCTGAAATATAATAGTAACCATGTCATCAAGGTCAAATCTCTGTGTTTTATGCGGATTTTCGTTTGTTGGGGGATCAGTGTCAGCGATCGGGGAAGAGGAAATTCAAAAACACTTTACACAGAAAATCAAACTGAATAAATAGTTGCTGTTGTCTGATTGGTTAAATCAGTTCGGCCATCTCGCTTTTAATTGGACGGTCATAGGTCGCTCAAGGGTGAGCTGACGTGACCTTCTACTAGGGTATGTTAGACTCAATACAGCAGGGTAACGAATAATACTGAGTTTACTTAGATTGTTACTCTATCTCTCACCTCCATCAGTCCAATATCCAACATAGTTGAGGGTAAGATCGCTCTGTCTGTACGCGTTGTCTTTACCGTAATACCTCCTCATAAGCGAACCCCAGTCAGACATGGCCTTGATAGAAGGAACATTAACATCCAGTAATCAAACGTATGTAATAAAGTTTATACAAAATGATTTTGAAAAATCAGTATGAAATTTAGTACAATGGTCATTGTAGTTCCGATTATGTCTCTTCATGCTCCGTAATTAACCATGTTCATATCGAGTGAGATTTACCACGATGATAGATTAATGATATCTTTTCGGCGGAATACTTTTACCTCTTGCGGTAAATGAGAGGAACAAATCTAAATACTTCCATCGTTCAATAATTCAATTTTCCAAATCTATCATAAACATAATGAATTTCCGTTTCCCCTATACTCTTTTCCTTATCAATATCATTGTAAAAACTGAAAAAGATCACAGTTTGACTAACCCACTCAGTCCCTATACGTACCGCGTTAATTCCATTACTACTGTAATACATGATTGTCTCATACGTGTAGCCAGTCGGAAGCAGTTCAGCGCCGCCAAATATGCCCCAACTGACGCGCTTCCGGTCGACATCTTGAAACATGGAGGCTGCCATAAACTGGCTGAACGGAGCTGTGATGACGACGTTGTTATCTTTGTCAAAGAGAACCAGAGGACCACTAACAAGACCGCTCTGCAACTTCGCCTTATCTGCCGTAAATCTAAAAAATAGATGTATATCATAGGGGTAAGGCAATAGCTTTGTGATGTTCGTAAGGGGACGCGGTGGGAGAGCTGGCTAAGGCGCCAGGCTAGTGATCCAGCGAGCTTGAGGTGACGGGATCGAGCCCACCTGTGACCGGGTGTAAAACCTTGTAGTCAACTTTGCGTGCAGACTCTCTCAGTGTTGTCACAACCCCTTGTGTACAGTACACAACCACGTGCACTTAAAAGAACCCATGAATCCGTTGGTGGCCACATGAATACGCGCAAACACCTAGTTGCGGGTACAGCAACGTGCAATAAACTTGGACAAAATACTGTGACTACGTGTCCCAGTCCGACCAGCTGTGAATTGGTACCTCATAAGGATGGGAAAGCCACGTCAACTCGGTGCGCGTAGTGGCTGCATGAGTTGTATGATCCCCAGGGAGTTGAGATTGAAAATACATTGTGCCGTTTGAGACTGACATCCAATGATCGAGGGAAAAACAAAGCGCCTTTGAGCAGGTGATCTGGATATTGGAGCTATATATATAAATAAAAAATAAACAAGTTTGTTTATTTCTTACACCTCACTCAGCAATAGTCAAGCTAAATGGTGGTCATCTGTAATTAATCGAATCTCTTCCAGACAGTGATCAAGCATGGGCATCGATCTACGCAATTGGGAACCGATGACATGTGTCAACCAAGTCAGCGAGCCTGACCACCCGATCCCGTTAGTCGCCTCTTACAACAAGCATGGGTTGCTAAAGGCCAATTCTAACCCGGATCTTCACGGGTGTTGCTTTGTGAACACAGGTATTCTGCTTCTTTTTCATAATAGATTATTATCAATTGTTTTCTTGGCGCCGCCCTCAGCAATATTCCAGTTATATAACGGCGGTTTGGAAATAATAGTGCGAACCAGACCACCCAGTGATTGACATCATGAACATCGATTTCTGGTACTGAGACGATTACATACATCATCATATCATACAAGCCAGGTTGGGCCTGAAAATCCAGTAATTAACACCACGAGCATCGATCTACGCAACTGGGATACGATGACATGTGTCAACCAAATGGTTTACTCCCATAAGAATTACATCCCATTTGAACTACATCCCAAATTAACTACAGGGATTAATTAGGGATTAATTATCTGAGTAAAGGCACCCCCATGGCATGTAATGAGCACAGCCCATCAGCTCTCCCAGAAGGACTACATGCTTAAAATCCTATTGACCAGTAATTATGTTGTTGTAAAGGTAATCTAATAACCAGAAAGTAAAGGACAAGAGAGAAGGGTATGCTGTAGTTAGTGAATGTTCTTGTATTCATATGATAGAAAAAAACCAATCCAAGCTTAGTATATTGGAGTAAAGGTAAAGGTAAATTGGAGTAAAGGTGAAATATATACGAATGAGTTTTTAAGTTAAAATATATAGTATTGTTATAGACTGCAATCCAGTTGACTACTTATTGAAGCTGGGCTAAACTAGTTCTACATGGATCAGATTGAACACTGAGGATGAAAGTGACACTACATTATCACACTAAATATATATGCCTATCTATAGATGAACTATCTATACATCTATATATAAAACTCAAGACTTTATCTGCACAAAGTCTTTCGCCGTTCAACGGCTCTTCATGTGTACAATGAAAACTAAGTGCCGTCATAGGCGACGCAAAACGGTAGTAGCTATGTCGTCATCATGTGTATGACGTTACAGTTAGTGACAACAGGTAATATTATATAGGTAGTATTTTTCCTGTACCACGATTGGTCAAAATACCGTCACATGATTGACTACAAAACACGATATTGACTTGAGTTTTCTGATAAATTACGATATTGACTTGGGTTACTAAAAATAGACAAGGAATCCCGTACGAAGGGGCTTCCCCCGCTTTTCAGCCAATCAGATCACTCGGATAGATGGCACAGTGTGTGCATTAAAAGTTTATGTTAAAACCCGTTTCTCTTTCATTATATAATAAAACAATTATAGACTCTTGTAGAGGTCGATATCGGTTTTTATTGACCTGAGAAAAACAATATCGACCTCGCAAGCTCAGTCGATATTGTTTTACTCAGATCAATAAAACCGATATCGACCTCTACAAGAGTCTATAATTGTATAATATGTAATAGATATATAAGACATATCTTCTTAGGTAGTTGAAAATGCTTTTCATAAAGCGGTAAAAATCCCAAGAGAGACACTTATGAAAACAAAAGAAACAAAAACAGAGATAGACATTCTACCATTTGTTGGTACCTACAATCCTAATAACTGTACAATTATGCCCATTATAAAAGCACATCTTTCAATTTTGTATAAAAAGGTTTATCAGTCAGTGTAACAAAATGTCAAACACCTCGATGTTGAACTTGTTCAATCATAACTGAAGACTCCAGTCCGTCAAAAAATATAATTAATATTCATTATCAATTTATGCTTACTTTTTCCAAAATGTGTGTCGTTAAAAAGTAATTTAAATATGAGTAAGGATAATTTGGAAGATTTACCTGGGCCCCGTTTCACAAAGCTCTCGTAAGCCTAAGATCTCGTAACTTTTCTCGTAGCATTCGTACCTCCATTACTGTAACATAGGAGGTACGAATGCTACGAGAAAAGTAACGAGATCTTAGGCTTACGAGTGCTTCGTGAAACGGGGCCCTGATTAGTATGGCACTGACCAGTGAGTCAGGTTCATTATAAGCGTAGGGGTGCATTTTCTAATCCCAATTAGCCTACATTGTTTTTGTATGCGAAATGGGATGTAGGCGAATTGTGATGTAGGCGAATTGAGATGTAGGCGAATTGAGATGTAGGCGAATTGAGACTAAACCAGATGCAGGTGACAGCATGTAGTTAATCTGTGCACTGGACCATAACATGTGTTGTTTTAAGCTGTAGTGGGAGGACACCAACCAAATCGGTCTACTTCCATTTGTGAGAACTCCCAGTTGTGAGACTCCCAGTTGTGAGACAGTGGAGTAGGTACTTAGCAAAGAAAACACTACTTACTCCCCGATCTGATAGAATGGATTAACCCCAGCTAATTATGGATTAGCTATTTAACTTAATCTTGTGGATGTAACTTAATGAAACTCTAAAAGATAAAGTAATTAACCTACTCAGATAAATGGCTTTAAAAAATAAACATTTTGTGTAGGTAATTTGAAAGACAAATTAATTTACCTACTCAGATTTACGTGTTTGAAATATCTAGCAATAACTGTTGTAACTATAATTAATCCAAATGTATTTATTAACCTTTGACTGCTCTTTCCGATCACCATTATGGCAGGCTTTCAACAAGTAGAATATATCACCAGTTCACGATAATCTTTTTCAGTATTTCAGTATCTATTGAAAACAATAAATGCTCTTCAACGAACAATGTCTTCTGTGTTAATTAACTCATTAATGAACTATGCCTCCTGCGGGTATTATTCAGCAACAGGGCTGTTCCCACTTTCATCGTAGGGAAGGGGAAGCACCACCTGTGTGCACTGAACCATTAATTAATGTGTCTCACAACTGGGAGTTCTCACAAATGGGAGGACACCACCAAATCAGCGAGCCTGACAACCCGATCCCGTTTGTCGCCTCTTACAACAAGCATGGGTTGCTGAAGATCAGTTCTAACCCGGATCTTCACGGGCCTCATGCGGTTGGAACAGCACGACAACAAAGGAATAGCTATCGTGATATAATCATAAGCTATCAGTTACCTATAATACCACATGCTACTGTTCATTAACACGTAGTTTCGCTTTTAAATAGTCATTATCAAAATCATTTCTTCAGTTCCAGTCATAAGTTTCTGAGTGTGCTGGACGTGTTGAGTATTGAATACATAATTTGCCAAGCCAGCGTTTTAACGGTCCCTGATTAATTTGAGAGTATCTTGGTCATAATAAAACTGAAAGCTCGCAGGTTCCCATAATGCAATAGAAATGTAACGAATAACACTGAGCCTAAGTTTACTTTGACTTGCAGGTTCAATGTTAACGCACAGATTCGTTATTTTTATGATTTTATGTGCGTTTCAGTTAGTTTATAACGCGATTGTTAAAACGTTTAGTTCTTCATGTTCCAAATATTTTATCTTGCAGATAGGAATCACATACTAACTGACAAGAAGATCTGATGCCAATGGGACTGAAGCTAACCCATTGCTATACATCTATATATTTCAGATTACCTACTTTTCGGAATAGTATATTGATTGGACAAACTCACACTCCTAACTTCTTGTCATCCCCAAACATGAGACCGCCGTATGACAGGTACCCCAGCCGGGGCTCGGACTCTGGGATCTGGAACGATGGGAATCCAGACACGACCTTGTCGGGGTCACCAGTCGATGTGTCGGCGGCGCCACCTGGGAACATCTAGGATATCAAAGAACGAGACGAGTGGAGGGTGTGGTACAGTGTGCATGCACTACAAGCAAAGTTAACTGTAAATATACACCTCAACAAAATATACGCTAGTTTAAATATGAAATAACAATTTCTTAAAACCATCTCTTGTATTCATTTTCTGGCGAATTGAATTTGCCATTTTTCTAACTGATACAAAATCATTAAAATGAGTGAATGTGTGAGTGAGTTTAGTTTTATGCCGCTTTTAGCAATATTCCAGCAATATCACGGCTGAGAAGACCAGAAATGAGCGTCATACAGTGTACCCATGTGGGGAATCGAACCCGGCTTATCGGCGTGAAGAGCTACCGGTTTAGCCACTAGGCTATCCCATCGCCCCTCATTAAAGTGAGATCTCAGTTCTCGCTACCGCTATACACAGAGATCTCGGAACAGGTGTTGACAGGTCAGGTCAAAACGACCTTTCATCTGACCAATCAGAGCGTCGCTTTCCAGATCGGTTCAGTTTTCAATTCATAATCGAGAGCTTTGTCAAAATGTTTTCCGAAGCGTAGTCTGGATTGGAAATCATCAGTTTGAAGCCCGTGCGGTAACACTAGATACACCGGTCTGGTTCATGTCGATCGCGACTTGTTGGACATTTCATTGGTAGGTCAAAGTTCGCGAACATTGGAAGGTCAAATTTCGCGAACATTGGAAGGCCATGTTCCGCAATCCAAAACCGAAACCGTATAGTTGTTCCCGTTCAACTGATTCCGAGTGGTATTCATGTGCATCGCGAAATATCCGTTACTGTGTATTTTCAATACTTACATAAGGCAATCAAATGTATCTAATACAACAGTATGACAGTTCCGGTCAAGAATACGACACAATGGGAATGGAATCGTCCTAGGGTACCTTTCTGTATTCGCATTATGGCCAAGGTACGTTTCTGTATACAGCAACGTACCTGGGGTACATATCTGTAGTACCCGTGCCGACAACGACCCCTTCAGCCATACTAGGTAGGTCAAAGTTTGCAAAAGGTCGTTGTAATGGGGTGTCTAGACTAACAACTTGTCTCTGAAATGAACATATTTTTACAGAGAAAAAACCCAGTTTATAATAAAAAAACAATAACTATAATGAAAAGGAACCCTGAGACCTGAGAAACTGTGGAAATCTAGACTTGCTACATATTGAGCAAGGGATTTCTTGATACATATTTGATTCAGAGTCTGTTTGCTAGACAATGGGGTATCCTCAAATGTTTCCGTCGGGTTAGCAAGCAAAGATTGCAAAGAGATGTTAGTACACCATGTTTCATTCTTTTCATTTCATTCTTTCTAAAATATTTTTTGGCAGAAAACTAATTTGAGAATTAAGTCAACTTCCTTTCATACACTCACCTGTTGGAAAATGACAATTGGAAGATCAGGAGAAATGTAGGTTTTAATGCAGCCTATAACGCTGCTAGCGCCCGCCATCATGTCAAAACATATTGTCTGCCACTGTCCAAGTCGATCAAATCCACTCGTGCCTGTGGTGATATTTAACTTCAAAGAGTTATCTTCCGTGGTATACGTTTTCCCGCCAACGTGGACGAAGGTGGGGGCGCTGGCAAGCCACGTGACATTCTTGACGCGGATGCTGTAGGTGCCGTTTGTTACCACTGAGATGACAAATGGATCTTCTGCCGCGTGTTCTGGAACGGTTCCTGGAAATGAATAGTAGAAGACTTGCATTTCAGATATGTTACAAGAGCCTGGTTTTGAAGATGGCCATGAGTTGTACCTGAATTAGCTTCGACAGGCGCGTAGCAAGCCATATTTTTTCTTGTAAGCCCGATATGTTGCGAAGCTTTATCTGAGCCATCTCCCCCATCTCATACACCCCTCCCCCCCCCCCCCCGGCAATGCAAACTTTTACTCTTGTACGGTACCCCTCTCCGCCAATAATGGACTTTAACTTACGTAGCAAAGCGCATGCACGTGGTTTTCTGTGTGATCGTGCGTGCGATATGTGTGTGTGATCGTGCGTGCGTAAGCGTGTCCAGACTATTAGTCCGGAAAAAAACATGCATACGTTTGACCGACATGATACTGACCAGTGGTTGTTGTGTCTCGGACGCCAGGCTTGGCAACAACAAGTACCACATTGTAACATATTTTGGTAAGGTCGGGGAACGACTGACCGTATTTCAGCCAGATGCTCCCTTAACTTGACTTTCGAACATACAACGGATTGTAAAATACTATTTTCTGAGTGTGCTAATCTCAGTACAGTGAGTATACGTAGGCTGAATATTCTGAAAAGGAATCCCTACAAAATATTTGATTGTATCTCAACAGAATAAAGAAACTATTTTCACCAAAATTGAGAATTTCATGACGGAAGGGTTCATATATTCTACATGTTTAGGTATTTTAACATAATTGCATTTAAGGCAGTCAAGTCCAACTCCATATAGATCACCGGTATCCGTCAGGCGATGCATCGCAGAAATCGATGATCTCAGTGAGGTTGAAGTTTCGTTCACATTTACGACATCTTGGCAGGGATAAAATATTTTTCATCCAAACTGTCTTTAATATTTGATGGGCCAGGTTGGAAGGGGGTTAGTTGCCTGGCGGAGAGAAGGGCGGTTAAGGGAGGGGATTAGGCGTTCGCTAACGAGTACAATGCGTAAAACCCTTTTCAGGCGTAAAGACATGCGCACTCGCTCACAATCCCTCCGAGCTATAAAAAACATGGGAAACAAAGCCTGTATTTTTATACATGCACGCCATTTCTACATCAACCTATTTAATATTTTCCACGTCGCAGGGTTATTATTGATCATACAGATTCTACAAACACCTGTTACAGGAAATTCAAAACAACAAGTAGAATGTTCTAGACGAATAATCTGTAACTGCAGTTGCATCTCTGAAATACATGCGGTGGGACAGTTACAGTTTATCATTGGAACTGGTTTCTGACCTGAAAGATACTGGGATGATAACGCGGAAGTAAGGTGAGTGAGTGAGTTGTGCTGATCAGCGTGGAGAGGGATGAAATTGCAAATGAGATAAATGTCGTGAAGATTTATCGTTTTGTTGGAAGCAATGAGAGCGAGTTGATATCCTCACAATAAGAATCACAATGACTACGAATATTTTATTCGAAATATATGGATCCTGTTGCGAACAAGGGACACAACTCTGTATTGCGTTATTCTAGTCATGTAACAAATGCGTTATTCTAGTCATGTAACAAATTAACAGGTAATTTTCAAAGCATGTTTGAGTACCTGTTTCTCTTTTCCTACTTGAAAAACTTCGGTGATGTGTTTCCATTCTCAATCATAAATTGTATTTTTCTAATGATCGGTAATCCTTATGTGGAGGCCTAATGTTTAGAAATGAGGCACTATCTTTGTATATATTATTTAGATAAATATACTTTGTTTCGTGTAGAGTAAATCTATTTGTGTGTTAGGTAAAGTAAATTTACCTAGCCCTAACCTGGGCCTCCTTTCACAAAGCACTAAGGTGATCGTAAGTCACTAAGGTGACCTTAGTCCAGTGTTAAAGAATGGGAGTAAAGGTCAACCTTAGTAAAGGTTGCTTCGTGAAAGAAGTAAACCGGACATAGTTTAAATCTGTTCCAAAAGTGGAATTGTTAGATGAGACGGGTAGACTAGTGGTTAAAGCGTTGGCTCGTCACGCCGAAGACCCGGGTTCGAATCCCCACATGGGTACAATGTGTGAAGCCCATTTCTGGTGTCCCCCGCCGTGATGTTGCTGGAATATTGCTAAAAGCGGCGTAAAACCAAACTCAATTAGTCAGTCAGTCAGATGGAACAGAATAGGGAGAGCACCAAAGATTATTCCGAATTATTATAACTGCCTACAAACTAAAACTAAGCGCCTTTGAGCAGCTGAGCTGAGCTGGATATCGGCGCTATACAAATGTATGTATGTATGTGTGTGTGTGTGTGTGTGTGTGTGTGTGTTTGTGTGTGTGTGTGTGTGTGTTTTTGTATGTATGTATGTATGTATGGTATGTATGTATGCATGCATGTGTTTGTATGTATGTATGCATGCATGTATTTATGTATGTTTGTATGTATTTTTTGTCTGTATGTATGTATGTTTGTGTGTGTGTGTTTTTGTATGCATGTATGTTTGTATGTATGCATGTATGTATGTATGCATGCATGCATGCATGGCTGGATATGGATGGAAGTATGTATGTAAGTATGTATGTATGTATGTATGTATGTATGTATGTATGTATGTAGTAGCTGAGGTGAAATTGGGTTTAACGTCTTACTTAGGAATATTTCGCTCATATGACGACGTGCAAACTTGTGTCTGTGTGGCTGCTTGTACTAGCCCAGACTTAAGCTGGTTTTATAGTGCTAGCTCACTGAGATACCATGCCGCAGTGAAGCATGAATACCCCACTCAGACACATTATACTGACTCCGAGCCGACCAGTCCTTGTTGTACCCCTTAATGCCGAGCACCAGGCAGGGACCAACAAGTACCATATTTAAACTACTTTTGGTATGACGTGGCCGGGGATCGATCATCGAACCCGCGACCTTCCATTCTCCGGGTGGACGCTCTAACCACTACACCACGGAGGCGGTTACGTTTATTACTAAATAAACTCTGTTTTAAACTGTATGAAATATTACTTACTGCAATATACTACTCCCGACAGTATCAGCAACAGCCATATCTTGAGGTGATCCCATGGTTGTCTCAAAACTATACGCTTCTCGTTGTTATCACCTTGGTGTTATCACTAATATCACCATTCAGGTGACATATTGCCAATACGACTGTATTGTGAAACATTTCAGCTGACGCGGCAAGTTCATCTGGTGATATATCTAAATGATAGGAAAAAGAGCGGCATGTTAGCTATAATAATACAGGAATAACTGTTCAAAGCGCTAACAAAATCATTACCATGGATCGATTCCCTACGATTGATTGACTGATAGTTGTTTAACACCGTAGTCAGCAATATTCCAGCTATATGGCGGCGGTCTGTAAATAATCGAGTCTGGACCAAACAGTCCGGTGATCAAAAGGATGAACATCGATTTACGCAACTGGGATACGATGACATGTGTCAACCAAGTCAGCAATCCTGACGACCAGATCCCGTTAGCCGCCCCTTACGACAAGCATGGGTTACTGAGGACCAGTTCTAACTCAGATCTTCACGGGTCTGGTTCCCTACGAAGCACACAACCCAAGCTGCCGATGAGGCGCCCAAAGGTTAGCAGCCACATCACCATCTCATTTTTCCTACCGGGTACCCATTCACTGCTTGCGTAGTTCGAAGTCACTTGCACTTATGTATCGGTGCGGGGAAGGACCGTGGCCCCAGAAACTCTCAGGAGTCAAGTTGTGCACAGCTGCACCCATCCACTTACTCTCCGTGGACAACATTGCTTAACACATTCTGATTTACGCCCAGGACCGCGTGCAGCTTGAAAGTGAAACGAGCAACGCTCCATTCAGCAATAACCACTCAAGCATTTCTACTACAAGCAGACAGCAATGTGATAGACTTATTCGCTGTTTAACATGTGTCTACCCCATCAAGCACGCGTGGCACGAATTTGAACGAAGATCACGTCGTAAAACGTTATAACGTTGACCTTGACATTGCAATAGGTAAGGAGAAACAATCGCGTTCCATACCACGTCTTCTCCAGACAAGACCAATGGTGGCCAGAAAAGAGACTGGTTGTCAGTATGGGGGAATTCGTGAACACCCGGTGTTAATTGTTCCCGTTTCTGCTAATGTCCATGTAGGGGCGGTTGGGCAGCCCGGAGGTCACAACGTTCGCTCGTCACGTTGAATACCCGGGTTAGAATCCCCACATGGGACCAGGTACAATGTCTGAAGCCTATTTCTGGTGTCCTGGTTATAATGAATTACATATGTATATGTATTATTCTAATAAATAGAGATTATTACACAAACAAGTGTGTCATACGACTTACACGAAACGAGTGTGAAATTTTGTATTGAACACGCTCTCGCTCGGGCAATACATAATTTTGCACGAGTTTCATATAAGTCGTGTGACACACTTGCTCGAGTGTGATAATTTCTTTATCAACCACTTTATTCATGTACATTTGTGCAGTAAAACACGGTAAGCAAGTGTGACGGCCCACTTCATTGACGTCACGTTCAATTGTTAAATGACGTCACAGACGACGAAATACAGAAACAAAGGTTGCTAGGCAAAAGTGATATGTGCACATGTCCACATATGATATATATGACACTGGTTATGTTTCACCATATGGATAATAATGAATTGTATTACCTACGAGGGCGAAAATATCGGGGTCCATATTTTTTTCATACGATGCCCTAGGGTGAAATATCACTTTGTCATGGTGACGTGACGTCATAAACAATGCTATGACGTCACGTTTCTTCTGTGACGACTTCGGTAATAAACAGAATATCATATTCGTGCCCATATCATACTATATTTCCAACACTCGTGTCTACTGGAATATCCCTCGCTCTCACCAGTGAAAAAACAACATTTAGGCACTTGTGTCGTAAACATAGTAGTATGGGCACTCATATAATATCCTCTATTTATTATCACACTTTATGACATACTTGCTCGTGTAATAATCTCTATTTACTATCTTACCACGTTTCCCGTTTTTAATCGCCACACTAGCTCGTCTGTAGCGTAACTAATATCTAATTACATGTGTATCACAAAATTGATTGCACGCCTGTGCACAGAATTTCGATTGGTTACACCTACAGTATACATACTGGACGTAAATAAATTTAAACTGGAATTCCACTCTTGTCAAGCGGGGACAGAACGCAGCTTACTGTACACATGTGAAATATAGGCAGGCGCCCAGTCCATTTACAATCGAGAAAGTCACTGTCAGGCACTTTCCGTACGTTTCCGCTTGTGACGTCACAGTCATGACAGCCAGGTGAAATCAGCTAACGTGTAAGTATGCATACCGCCATCTGATTCGATTTACTCCATTACACGAGATAACCGCATATGCACGGAGATATGGTCGACCCGTAGTATTTTCGTGCAGTGTTGAGTGCGTCACCAACTTGTACCTAGACCCAAGAGCGGGAGTTTATCGCGCGATGAGCGACACATCGATCGTGCGCTTTGGGCCATGTTTATTTGAGTATTACGTAATCGGAAGTGCGAAGTGCGTGCGCATAGTTTGCTAAAAGTTTGCATGGGTCATATGTTTTCAATTCTGTTACGCTTTATTTGTTTCGAATCCTCACTTAATAGATTCTCTGAAAAATCTGCCATGTTACCTGTTTCGCTGAATAAGGTCAAGTCGGCCACGCGTGAATTCTATTTCTTGTGACAAGCAAAAACCCAGTTGGGTGTTTACATCCTGAAATAAATAATAACGAAAACATTTAATGGCTGTGTACGAAATAAGAAATAACATTAATTCATCTGATTGCAGACTTAAATATACATAGCACATTATGATTACTCTTATTTAGAAGTGTACTGTACATATGTACAGTTTTCCGTTATACGAAAATGGTTACTTTGAATGAGTTTGATACCAGTTCTAACAACTGTGCATCATTAGATAAATCACTGATGGAGAAATATAGTACAATGGCACAATTACACACTAGCTTCGAATGCTACAAATAAAAGCTGGACCACATTAAATTACAGATATGGAGGATGTGTATCTGAATGCCAAGTCCCCACACTTCCAGCTGTGTACAACAACATTATCAACATTGTACGCCTAACTTGATCGAAGCTAATAAACAAATGCGCCAGCAAATTGTCATTGAAATGTACTTTAAATGTCGAACTCAAAGACTAATTAGCCAGGGCTAATCACTGACATTATCAAAATACTTATAAATGTGGAAATGATTGATTATTATACAATGAAAGTTTCCTACACATATGATATGTGTGTTGAACATATTCTGCTTTAAGTAATTATATTGACACATCCTTGATAATCTCCGGGGTATACGTTCCGATAAATCTATACTATAGTCCGTTTGACTTCATTTTGGACTGATGAATTGCTCACTAACACAAAATCTAATAATTGCAACAAACCAAATTTTGCACAGTCACATGAAATCGACAGACCAATTCTGAGGATTTGTCTCATAATTTTGGACACCCGAATAAAAAAGTTGTTTAACAAACGATCATTATTTTGTTGTTACTTTTCGCTATTTCTTATGAGGGGGACCACTTGCTGGTAGAACAGCCAGGTAATCACCAAGGGTGTGCAGTGCAATTTCAATTACTCACGTACAACTTGCACACCTGGCTGTTCTACTAGCAAGTGGTTCTCCCTCGTATGAAATAGCGAAAAGTGACAACAAAATCATTTGGTTTTGTTGCAATTATTAGATTTTGTGTTAGTGAGCAATTCATCGGTCCAAAATGAAGTCAAACAGACTATAGTACCCTTGACGCATCTAGTCAGCTGGACCCAATAATTGTATTACCTCTCTTTACCTCATAAACTATGACTACATCTGTTTAGGTGACTCAATCAAATATAATATGTGACTGTCCCAGACTGAAATAAAAACTATTTAGGTGGTTGTGACAAGGTTTGTTATTTAAATATTAAGCTTAAGTCAGGTAACATTAGAAAAAGACTCACAGCGTTCATTCTAGGCCGTGCCCTTGCGTCATTCGCACACTAACATTAAACATGGTGCACTGTACAGGTACGGGCGGGGCGTGCTGGCGCATCCCTAAAGGTAATTCTGAAACGCATCACGAGTTTGTTTTCGCTTTGCAACTCAAGCAAAACTCAAGTACGTCTTTGGTTGCTCTTGTTGACCTCGCCTGGATTGAAAGTTTAAAAAAGGAAGTGAACCCATACTAGTAATGAGTAGTGTATGGCTAAAAAGTCATAGCAATTTGATATGACCCACAATATTTTCTAAATGACCCACATAACTGAGGGCTGGTGGGCCATGGGCTCACTTGTAAAAGCCCTTGAATGAACACTGGACTCATTAAGGTACTGGGTATTTATTGAATACTAGTATATGACAAGCATTGGGGGAAGGTCACTGTTTATATTGTCATAGCAACATAGACACCTCCCCCAATCCCTCACAGGTACAGACACACAAAGACAGATAGACACACCAAACAAATGTGTGCGCACACACATGCACCCACCCACACACTGACACTAATGATTTTATGTATGGACTGATAAAGCCACATATTGAAGGAAAGATGTTTGTTTAAAGTTTATTATGCCTTCTATGTACCAAATTTCATAAAGATGGCATGTTCTTTGAGGGAAAAACATAACTGAACAGAAAATGTATGAGTTTTGTAAAATGGATTGTGAATATGTAGATTCTGGTGTTTCTGTGTGAACTGACCGACAGACTGACTGAGTTTGGTTTTACACCGCTTTTAGCAATATTCCAGCAATATCACGTCAGGGGACACCAGAAATGGGCTTCACGCATTGTACCCATGTGGGGATTCGAACCCGGGTCTTCGGCGTGACGAGCCAACGCTGTAACCACTAGGCTACTCCACCACCCCCTATCTGAACTGGGATTGTGGGGTTACTGTTGTTGAAGTGTTGCACGTCAGGCCGAAGGCTTGTGTTTGATTCCCTTGGGGACAATATCTGAAGCCCATTTCTGGTGTCCTCAGCCATGATATTGCTGGAACATTGCTAAAAGTGACATAAAACCCAGCTCACTCACTCTGTCTTAACTGGTAAATCTGTCAAACTCTGACACAATTGAATTCACAACAATTATGTTCATTTTCAAAACAAATTCATACCGTGGATACTGAAAACAGTATCCATGGTAACCCATATATGATCATTCCAAGTGGAATAACGCTTCACTTGCACACCATACTTTCAATCAATATCATCATTCACAGACTGCTGTTACATTTAGTAAGTGATAAACAGTTTGATATTTGATCAACTGAAAAATGAACAAATGTTGTTTCTGTGGACAGCCGATCCCTATTGTCGAGTACAGCCATGATGGATATCAGCTGGCACCTCGTCTGAGTTGTCACTTCTAGCTGTGGAGAGTTGTCTCCCTTTGACATACCAGAAACCGGTGATTGTGGGTTCGAGATTCACCCTGAATTGGTTTCTAGGTATGTCAGTGATTTCTGTTGGGTTTAAAAAAAGCAGTAAACATTTGAGGCCTGCAACAGTTCAGGCTCTTTTCTCAGGTTAAAATGGCACACCATAGTACAAATGAGTGAGTTTAGTTTTATGCCATTTTTTTTTCAATATTCCATTAATATCATGGTGGGTGGACACCAGAAATGGGCTTAACACATTGTACCCATGTGGAGCATTGTACCCGGGTCTTCATTGTGATGCGTGAATGCTTTAACTTTTTTCTAACCCACCTCCCCTATAATACAACTGGAATACTGTCCTCAGTAGTGTCAAATGAAAGTCACTCACTCACTCAGACCCTTTGGGATGAACTGTGGTTTGACACATTGAGCTGTGATGTTATCAGACAAAGTTAATATATTCTGCATACCCGTGAAGATCTGGTGTAGAAATGGCCCTCAGCAACCTGTGCTTGTAAAAGGCGACTAACGAGATCAGGTGGTCAGTCTCGCTGACTTGGTTGACACATTGTATCGTATCCCAACTATATAGAATGATACTCATGCTGTTGATCCCTGGATTGTCTGGTCCAGACTTGATTGTTTACAGACTGCCGCCATATAGCTGGAATATTGCTGAGTGCAGCGTAACACAACAAAATAACAGCATACATTATGTAATCAACATTGTAAACCAAAAGCCACTGTGTTCTTTAATCTGATTGGTTGAAAAACGTGATCAAATGGTATTCGATTCCCGGAAATCCGCTGCGTATTAATACATACAAACATCGCTCACACCATTGTATTGTTACGTCGTCAGCTGTGATGACATCATTAAAATCATATTGTGATGTAAAATCCGAATGACGTCACAAATGAGCAGTTCCAGATGCAACCATCGGAGACCGCCAAAACGGCTGGCTGATGACATTTCACTGCTGTACCCATACTCGATGTCAATGAGTGCAGACACAAAAACGTGTGTGGACCTTCTGGTTTACTTTTGTGTTTACAATGGCGATAAACACCATGTGTTGGCCAATTTCCGGGTGTTATTGAGTATATGAAGCATGGGAATATTTCATTTGAAAACTCCGGCTGACGCCGTCGGTTCCAAATGATTCCCGTGCTTCAAATACTCAATAACACCCGGAAATTGGCCAACACATTGTGTTTATCTCCTAATTAATAACCGGAGGCATTTTGTCATATCTACATTTAAGCGTAGAGATCTATGTATTGTCAGATTCACATTCATGCATTAAGTTGTGGTGTGAGTTTTAACTTATTAAACTGAGTTTGAGACAACCAGGAATTCAACACATCCCGTTCAACACGTCAGGGTACAAATGGTGGTAGTAGATGCAGTCAGACCTAGCCACACCAGACGGTGAGTTCAACACGGTGGGTGGTTTCACTCGGTGTATGTGTTAGCATCTTTGTACGTGAAGCACGTGCTGAATCTCTCTGTACTGGGTGTACATTTCCATGGCAACTGATGCAGCTTCTGAATAGAAAGACAAAGATTTGGAACTGATAAAGAAATTCCTGTACCAATTTTTTTTAAAAGTAACACTACTTCAAAATTCAGTGTCATCATGACCATCTCTAGGCCAGACCAATTTTATTTTTTGTTTTATGGATTTTGTTCTCAGAAAACCTAGCAGGAGGGGGAACAAAATCGCCAGTTAAAGCAAAAAGCCTCATGAGTTTCCATGTTAATTAACTCTTTTGGTTTGTTTATATCAACTAAAATTAAGTTGAGCGAGTTTAGGTTTCACGCTGATTTCAAGAGTATTTCACTAATATCACATTAAGATTAGGATTTTATTTTTTGAGGTGGGGGGGAATTAATTTTTGTTTTCTTTCATATTGTTGAGAAAAAAAATGAACGGCGGATCCGTAAAACACGAAATAAAATTGGTCTGGCATTAATTAAAAAGTAACAAT